GCCTGCACCGACGCTCTTGAGCTGATCAATGGTTGGGCCTAGCTCTTCGGCCAATCGTTCGGTCGATCCGGAGGAGGGGAGGGAGGGTGGAGGGGAGCCGGCGGAGCCATTGCCAAATCTTATCCACGTCCGCTCCGATGGCGTATGACCATCAGAGACCGTGAATGTTCAATAACGGGTACAACGGTCTGCATTGGTGTGTGACAGTGCTAGTGCCAAGATATGAAGCCTAGCGGTTAGGAGAATTCGCAGCACTTGTCATCCGCAGAACCCCATGTCAAATATTCAGCCACCTCTATAATTCGCTATCGGGGAGGGAGGGGAAAGTTGGATATCAGGTGACTCAGTTGGGTCTTTGGGGGCTGGACACATTTACACAGCCCTGTTGTTGTATTGTAAGAACGGTAAACTTCAAAATTACACGCGATAACTGATAGGACATGATAAGCGCGATAAGACGCAGCTCTTAGCAATGTGGAGAAGCTTGGAAGTGATCCTATGATGTGATGGGCTTCTCCGCAGATTGGCACAAGTTGTGCCCAATAATGGCACTCTCATGCAAGACAAGGGGGGGATTGGACTAAGATTTGAGTCACCCGAACACAAAGCACGCGACTTCGGAGGATGAGTTGCCTTGGAGAATATGGGCCGTGCGAGGGGGGTTGCCTATAGCCTATAGCAAGGTGAGACTGCCAGGTACCCGGGGGAAGGTGACCACCTGCACCACCTTGCTATAGGTACTTTGTTTTTTTAACTTATTACTCGTGTCCGGGAGATATTCAAACAACAATCATACTTCATATGATGATAAGTCTAATTTAGATATACTACCTAGTCATGATAAGTCAAGTGGATGCTCCAGATGTCTTAATGGGTTCCCGAGACCTAGGTGACCATACCATACGGTATCGGGTACCCCCATTCTCAACCAGTTCTCCACTGGATCGACATCGACAGGTCATCCGCCGGCGTAACCGTATGTAATGCCCGCTTGCATCATCGATCCCCCGTCTCCTCCCTAGATAAGCTGCCCTTCTCCTCATCTTCCCCCTTCTCCTCTTCATCCAACCTATCCTTCACTCATCCTTTCCAACCTACAATTATCGTTTACTCTATCGTTTCTTCTGTCGTGTTTACTTATTCACTCTGCCCAGCATGAAAGGCTTCCTCAGCCTAACCGTGCTCCCGTTGTTGGCAGTTGCCTCGCCTGTGGCAGTAGGCTCCATCCACAACGATGCCGCTCCTATCCTCTCCTCCATGACCTCCCGAGATATTCCGGATTCCTACATCATTGTATTCAAGAAGCATGTTGACCAGAGCTCTGCCTTGGCTCACCAGAGCTGGTTGCAGGAGGTGCACACCGCTCATACCGGTCGGATGGAGTTGAAGAAGCGCTCCCTGTTTGACTTTGACTTTGAGGCTTTCATGGGCTTGAAGCACACTTTCCAAATTGCTGGATCTCTCACAGGATATGCTGGTCATTTCCACGAGGATGTCATCGAGCAGATCCGCCGTCATCCCGATGTTAGTATCCCCATTCCCTCCTTGCGAAAGTTCCCGAGGTCGGCGGCTAATATGACTCAAAATAGGTTGACTACATTGAGAAGGACTCTGAGGTCCGTACCATGACCGATGGTACTATTGAGAAGAACGCCCCTTGGGGTCTTGCCCGTATCTCTCACCGGGAAAGCCTCTCCTTCGGTAACTTCAACAAGTATTTGTATGCCGAGGAGGGTGGTGAGGGTGTCGATGCCTACGTTATTGATACTGGCACCAACACCAAGCACGTTGACTTCGAGGGCCGTGCTACCTGGGGCAAGACCATCCCCCAGGGTGATGCCGATGAGGATGGAAACGGTCACGGAACTCACTGCTCTGGTACTATTGCCGGCAAGAAGTTCGGTGTTGCCAAGAAGGCCAACGTTTACGCTGTCAAGGTTCTTCGCTCTAACGGCTCGGGTACTATGTCCGATGTCGTCAAGGGTGTTGAATGGGCGGCCGAGGCTCACATCAAGAAGTCCAAGAAGGGCGACAAGAAGTTCAAGGGTAGCGTTGCCAACATGTCCCTCGGTGGTGGTAGCTCCCGCACCCTGGATCTCGCTGTGAATGCCGCTGTTGACGCTGGTATCCACTTCGCTGTTGCTGCCGGTAATGACAACGCTGACGCCTGCAACTACTCCCCCGCTGCTGCCGAGAAGGCTGTCACTGTTGGCGCCTCCACCCTGGCTGATGAGCGTGCTTACTTCTCCAACTACGGCAAGTGCACTGACATCTTCGCCCCTGGTCTGAACATCCTCTCCACCTGGGTTGGTAGCGAGCATGCCACCAACACCATTTCCGGTACCTCCATGGCCTCTCCTCACATCGCCGGTTTGCTGGCCTACTACGTCTCCCTGGCACCCGCCAAGGACTCCGCCTATGCCGTCGCCGATGTCACCCCTAAGCAGCTCAAGGCCACTCTTATTAACGTCGCCACTGAGGGCACCCTCACTGACATTCCCTCCGACACCCCCAACGTAAGTTTTCCTCCTTATGTAGATGACATGGATTAGGCTGACTTTTATCTTAGCTTCTCGCCTGGAACGGTGGTGGTTCCGCCAACTACACCCAGATTGTTGCCGAAGGTGGTTACAAGGCTGGTGTCAAGACTAAGGAGCCCACTGTCGATGAGCGCATTGGCAGCATCATCGACAGCGCCGAGAAGGCCTTCCACAAGGAGCTTGGCGCTATCTACAGCGAGATCAAGGATGCTGTCTCTGCATAGATTATAAGGTTGTTAGGGTTCTGTCTGCGACAAACCCCACAACCCGGGCATACGGATGGATGGATTAACACAGGCGCACATCATATTTTCTTTGGTTTTATCTCGGTTTTCTTTTTTTTTGGATTCTCCAACACGAATCCGCGGGTTTATCCCGCCACTACACTCCTATACACAGATTGTTTTTGCTATTTCGCTATTTCGTCACTTCGCGTAGCATACTTGTCTACAACCATAAGGTCGGATTGATTTAGAATACGTTTTGATTTATCAAAGAAAGATTTCTCCGGCATTTGACCCCACGAAATAGGTTAAATTAGGCCTGTAGCAAGTACATGTAGTCATATTCAACATCCATGGATATGCTCTACAAGACGTCATTAATTCGACCCACGTCAGCCTGTTCTTCCAAACCCCAACACCACCGACTCGCTCTGTCAGTCCGCTCTTCTCCCAGAATCCCAACACACTGATCAACGAACTTTGCCGTTAACTGTTCATTTGTCATGGGGCGCTCCAAACTACCCACAGCATAGTCGATATGCTTCACAATACTAGCCCCTCCCCTCACCTTCACAACAAGATGACACTCATCCGCCCTTAAATTCTCATCAGGAACCGCCCTAAACAGAGCCCTTAATGCCACAACCCGCCCATCAAGTACCACATCATCCTCATACTGCGCCGGTGCAGCCTTCCCCAACAATAAACCAACTGCACCACCATGATAAACACTAAACTTAGCCTCCAGTCCATCCTTCGGCGTCGTCTTCCCCGTCAACTCCAGAACAAGCGGATGCACATCCGCAACAACCTCTTCAACATCCGCAACATTAACCCCAATCCTCTCCAACTCCCTATGCAACCAAACACATCCATCAATAACAGGATGAACAACAATCCCACAAGGAAACGGCTTAAACGCATTCCTCACAATCTCCCACCGTCCAGCATCCCCAAGTGCCCCAATCTCCTCTTCGAGCTTATTCCCCCCAGCACAAACAACATTAGCCCACCCCCTCTTCGCCTCAAGCGCCTCAACCGAACTTGTAAACCCCTCCCGTGCAAGCAAAGCAGCAAGCAACCCATTCTGTGCCGCCCTTCCAGGATGAAAAGACTTCGCATGTGACCCGAACATTTCCCGAAGCCCAGTAACCTGGGTAGCGGCAAGACCAATCGCATGAGCGACCTTCTCAGCCGACAAGGAAAGCAACTTCGCCACCGCCACAGCAGCGCCGATTGACCCCGTTGTAGAAGTAATATGCCAGCCAACATCGTAATGCGCGGGCCAGACGGCCAGGCCGACTTTACACTCGGCTTCAATACCAGCGACTAGCGCGGTTATGAACTCGGTCCCGGAAACGGGGTGTGAGAGAGTCGGGATTATGGCGAGGAGGGCACATGCCACTGGGCCTGTTGGGTGGATGATTGTGTCTAGGTGGGTGTCGTCATAGTCGTGGACGTGGGAGGCGATTCCGTTGAAGAGTGCGGCGTGCATGGCGTCGGTGGAGGTGCTTGTGCCGAGGAGGTGGGAGGTCGGTGGTCCTGAGAAAGGGGATAGGGCGTTACGGGCGATTATTGTTGCTGGGTGTTGGCTCCCACCGATTATACATCCGGCTATGTTATAAAAGCTTCGTACGGCGGCGTGGGTTACTTCTTCCGGGAGGTCGGAGTAGGATAGAGAGACTGTCCAGTCGGCGAGGGTTTGTGTTGCCATCTTAGATTGGTGGTTGGTTTCTGTTTTTTTCAACGTAGAGTTGGGGCAGTTGGTGTTTGATTTTAGCGAGTAGGCGCATATGATATTGGGATCGATTAGAGGGCCCATAACTAGTGATAGGAGCCACGCATACGTAAGTACATAAGTACATTGGGTTTAAAGTGGGGATGGTGCGGGGGAGAGGAGAGTCCACTTTTGCTCGGCAATGCAGATTCATCTGGCTTAAGTGAACTCAATGATATGGTATGCAGATAGGGCTGATATAGTTGAAAGTTTGATCGAGATTTAGAAAAGGATTAAAATTTGAACTCATTCCGCTAAAATATCTGTGCTACATTAGGGTATTGCATGTTATCATAAACCATAAAACCCATAATGTTGAAAAAAGAAATGACCCGCTAAACGCCTGTCGTATGAAAGATCAAAGGTACGCCGAGAATGCTTAATATGCTCAGAGAAGCAGACATGAAAACGATTGATCATGCAGCAACTCTCCAGACGAAAGACACCAAAAAGTTGTTCTTACACCTTCTTCGTCTCCGTGGAATCCTCGTTTGCCGATTCATCCTCGTCCTCCTCCATATCACTGCCGCTAGACTGTTCCATATCGAGATCGTCATCAGAGTCACTGCCACCAAACACATCGCTGTCGACATCACTATCGGCCCAGAAGTCGTGGTCTTCCTTCTCCACGGGCTCATGGACGGGAGTATGGTGTGTGGGCATCTCAAAGCCAGCGGGAATATCGAGCTTAGACTTCTCGACATCATCCTTAGCACGCTGGCGGTAGACTTCCGGTTGGTTTCGAAGCAAGACGGCAGCATCGACATTCGCGGGGGAGGAAGGCTCGGCATCGTCAAGCAGAGAGAGAATGGAGATCAAGACCGACTCGACACGCTGGGCAGGGGACCAACGCTCCGAGGCAAGCTCACCGGACATTTCATCCTCGCCGGGCGCATGAAGGATGGAAATGCATAGCTTGCCGCTGGTGTAAATGTTCGGGTGGTGGAGAGGTTTGAGGAAACGGAACTCTAATAGTGATAAAAATCTCGTCAGTCACATTGAATACGAGAAGGGGGCGAGGAAGGTATCATACTTGGTGGAGCATAAGGGTAGTTGGACGGGAATGTCATCGAGGCTTTGAAATAGCCACCGAAGTACAATGAATCCGGGTTCATTACGATCAGAGCGACATCCCAGTTAAAGATGTCGTCATTGTGCAACTGTGCAAGATGTGTCAGTAACCTGCAAGTGTAAAAGTGTCAAGGACGCTCAATAGTGACGTGATGAACATACCTGGACGTGAACCCACTTCTCCTTGAGAAGGGTCTTGAATTCGTTCATCAAGATGCGTTCCGCCATCGCGATTAGAGACGGGAATTTGAAGATGATGCACTTGGAAAGATGATAACGCGTGGCGCAATCTATTCTTATATAGGTAAAATGTCACAAGGCAGCACTGGTTGCCTATGCAAGTTGAAGCAAAGTGGGTGTGGTATTAATCAAGAACCCCGTCACAATTTAGGCAATGTCGGGATCACGAGGGCCGAGGGGCGAGACCTACTATGCCTATTGAGATCAACAAATGCCTGAAATTTCGGTGACTCTGACTAAGACCGGGTACCCGGCAGTCCTCGGCGCCACCTCGGATTCTGCTTATCCATTTTACACCTTTTAACTCAACCTTAGGTTCTAGTTGTAGTAGATATAATATCTAGGCTTTTGCTTTACTGACTGTGGTAATATCCCCATCTACATCAGAAAGGTTTAATTATTATGTTGTATCTTACTGGTCATCAGGTTATGAAAATATATATTTTACAGAATACTACAGACGACTTACCCAAACGAATCGAGGTCTCGAATCAACCTATTGGAAAATATGTAATGCCTAAAACAGAATGAAAATAGCGAGAATTAAGTAAGCTTCGTATTTGTGAGAACTGTATAGAGTAGATTCTTTAGATTGTAGTCGTTCCGAATACGACTAAATATATACCACTAACGTCCTTATTTAAATATTCTAATATTATCACGTGTTATAAAGTCTTGGCGCTGTGAGGTTGATTCTTGGTAACCGTACAACCTTGGAACACTTCATCCACTATACACAAATATAAAACTAAGCTGCTTTACCCATGAACTTCCAGTTTGTCAGTTACACTGTAAAGGACCTGGAATCTTCATCGATTGGCGATAACAATGGAGAGAGAGGCCCCCTATTACAGCGTGCTCGTAACCAAAGTCCATGCCAGCCATGTAAATCGGCTAAGCGGAGGGTAATATACCTCCTTTAGCACCGGGTATAGACAATTCTATTCACCAAGTCACAGTGCGACCTTGCAATGCCAAAATGTGCGAGATGCAACCGTCAAAATTTGGAGTGCCGCGTCACAAAAGCTACATTAAGAAACCAACATCCCCATAGATCATCTCCCAAGCCTCTAGGTGCCCCTCCCCCATCTAGTTCAGGCGAGGGAGAAGATCTCTATGGTAGTGGTACGTTCATCATTCTGTCATTGTATGCATCACCACAACAGCCAATGACTAATTTTGAATCCAGAACTCTTGGGGCATAATTATCAAGATCTTCCCCCTCCAGAGCCTGTCCCCTCATCTGAAAGGAGCAGAATATCCTCTTTTTTGGTGCAGGAGTCGGACTTCTGGGAGCTCTGCAAGACCCTATGATATCGAACTTTTCGCAATGGGACCACGAAGGTTCCAATGATCCCCTGGGTGGTCTATATAATCCCCCGAGGAGTTTGTTGGGCCCCATTATTGTAGGCATACCGCCACTTCCATCCTTAGAGCCACCTATGTCCCAGGACTTCATGGAAGGGATACAGCCACGCCAGTAGCAAGGCGATGGCTCGACTACCAGAGCCAGAGATGATGAGCGAAGACAGCTATGGCATATCTACACATCAAAACTGGTAAACACGCTCATGGCCCATAAGTCGGATTTTCGCAACCCACTTATCGATTACCTCCTCCCACGCGCATTGGAAAGACCGACGTTCCCATCTGCCATTCTGTATCTTGCATTTGTAATGAAGTCCAGATCAAATTATGCGCCGACTTCACGTAACACAACGCTCGAGCACGACATTGTTACAGACCCGGAACTTGGCTTGCATCTAGAGAAGGAAGCGTTGTCTGATGCCGAAAACAGCTTGGTGCAAGCGGCCGATTCAAGCTTGTCTCTCAACACCCTTGCTACCCTGCTAATTGTCTGCAATGCTTACATTGCATCGAGCAACTCTCAATCCTTTTTATCTGCTTAGAGCAAGCTTTCATCCTTGCAGAAAGTTGTCTAGGGAGTTATTTTTGAATAAGGAGTTTATCTTCTTTGTACAATGTCTTGGCTGCATGCATACTACCGCGATGCTAAGTCCTGGAAATTACAAGCTCAAAGCCCCTGACTTCCTGAGTATCTGTTACAGAGAAGGCCAGGGACTAGTAAGTACGCTGGTAAAATCACTGTATTGCGCTAGAGAGAGAGAAAGAGAAGAAGCTATCTACAGATGCTAAGACTAATGTACTGGGAGCAAACAGCGGTGGTCACGTGACCTTCCAACACCCCCCACGACTAGTGCAATAGTCGTCACAACATAGTTTAAACAACTCAATCCTCCAGTGTAAAAAACCAGGTTTTGACTTTGAAATAACCCCCCATTTTTTGTATGTAAACCAGAAATCATGCAGTTTTATAGGGCACTAGACCCATCTGCAAGATCCATCTCCGGAACATGATCTTTCCAAGGGGCTTTGTCAATCCATCTGCTGCCATGTCGGCAGTGGGAATCTTGACGAATTTCACTGAACCAGCTGCCACTTCTTCTCGTAGGCGATGATACCTAATGGCAATGTGCTTAGTATTGACATGAAACTCTGGATTTGAAGCTAAAGCAATGGCTCCGTTGTTATCGGCATAAATGCAAATCGGCTTTTGTAGAAACCCAGTAATCCCAATCTCCGTCAATAATTGAGTGAGCTAAATAGCTTCCTGCGTAGCAAGCGCTTCAGTAATGTACTCGGACTCGGTAGTAGACAGAGCAATATAAGATTGCTTCTTTGAAGTCCACGAAATTGCTCTACCGGCTATTATAAAAATGAAGCCAGACGTAGAGAGGCCTTTTTCACTATAGGGGCCAGCCCAATCTGTATCGCAGTACCCACATAAAGCATCATTTCTATGAAACGAAATAGATAGATACTTCGTGCCAGCAAGGTAACGAAACACTCGCTTCAATACCTAGAAGTGTAATGGGCCTGGATTCTTGGTATGCTTCGCCAATTTAATGACGACAAACGAGATGTCAGGACGGGTCGAAACTATTAACTAGATCAGTGTTCCGATTTTGGTTTGAAACTCTTTGATCTCTGCTTTTGAAGCGGTGCCGTCAAATACTATCAAAGATTGCTTCTTATCTATTAGAGTAGCAACTGCCTTACAGTTTTTAAGACCGAAGCGAGTAAGGATTTTGTCAACGTAGTTGTATTGAGAGAGGTAAATCACCTCTTTATTGTAGTAGATATTGATGGTAAGGTATCGTTTAAGGATACTTTTGTCAGACGTATCAAAGTACTTAGCGATTGCGATCTTAAACCGTTGAATTTCTTGCTCAGAGGGTAATAGAATAAGCAGATTATCGATATAGATTATGATAAATAACGGAGCCTTCCTAGAGGCACACTTAATGAAGATTGAATGATCTGACTGGGTACGGATAAATCCTATAGAGATTAAGATATCGTATAGCAGTCTATACTACTCTCTGGGACTTTGTTTTAACCTATAAATCGTCTGTATAAGGAGACCAATATTATCGGGATATAGCTCTCTTTGTCCTTTAGGAAGCTTAATTTCAATTGGTTCTTTAAGCTCGGTATAAAGAAAGGCCGTTATAATATCGATATAATAAATTGGCTAGCCTTTAGTAGCGGCTAGACTGCGACATCGCCCATGGACGGGCGGGTGGGCAGTGCCCACGGGCCTTATGTAAGCGGGCGATGGGCACTATCAATACGCCCATGGACGGGCCCTACCCTTAGGGCCCATTGTCCATGGACACCGTGGGCGCCCGTGGGCCTTTTTAGTAAGCAAAATTAGCGCAACACGTGATTTTAATTGACAGATTTCAAAATATTTCAACTAAATTTATATTTTTTATATATTTACAATCATAATTCCGGATTTTTAATAAGATATATATAAATATATATACTATAATTTACTATATATCTAATTTTTATATATATTTAAGACAACTTTATATAATGGTGGGCATCGTGGGCATGCCCGCCGTGGGCATGCCCGTGGGCCTTGGGCGTTATGGACGGGCACTCGAAAATCCAAATAGCCCAAGGCCCACCGTGGACGGGCGATGGGCACCTCCTAGGTGCCCATGGACGGGCGATGTCGCAGTCTAGTAGCGGCAATAGCTACGAAGATCTTAAAAGATATCGGCTTAGCAACGACAGTATAGACCTTATAAAAGTTAAGATCCTTAATCTGACAAAATCTACGGGCGATAAGCCTTGCTTTGTAGGTTCTATTATGCTTAATTTTAAAGACCTATCGAAGAGAAAGGGGCTTCCGGCGGTTCTTTGTAGAGGAGCGAGGAATCCTTCGCTAGGTACCGTTCTTAATCTGTCGAGTAAGTTCCTTATAAGCAGTAGTTAGCTATTTGTCTTTCTCGACATAGGTTATTGCTTCTTTCTAGTTATTGGGTTCGAAGCCAATATTATTGACTGTCAATTTAGAAGATGTATACTGTGGCTCTTTTGACGTAGCTGCAGAAAAAAGATTAATTAGTACCTCTAGGGTATTAGCTAGAAGCTAAAGGACATTGCTGTCAAAGAAAGATCGGCTAGCTAAGCTTTTAATATATGCCTGGCTGGGTTTTTTAGACCTTATCGATCGACGTACTGTCCTATCCGATAGATACTGAGTGATAGTAGTAATATAGTCAGTGTTAGGTGAATCATCTAGAATTGGATCTAGATATATAAAGTCAATTTAAATACCCTGGGGTAAATCCTCATTAACAACCTACCGGGAAGTAAGTTGTGGTTCTACGAGAACCCCTACCCTACCTATATTAAGGTAGGGACTATCATCCTCCTATTATACCTCTATAAACCTACCTAAACTACCCGCTATTTCAACTTTATCGTTATTATCGGGTAAATCGAAGGTATCGGGATCGGGGAGGGGAACGTCGATTATTAGAAGTAAAACACTTTCAATTTCTGGAATACGGTATTCTAGAATTAAAGGGTTCGAAGGATCGAGCGGAGGGTTTACCGGAGCAAGAATTGTATCATCAATATTATCTTCAACAGATAGAGAGGGTAGAGAACTATATAGAACTCCGAATAGATTGTTAAGATACGGCCGTATAAAATCAATTGGAACGTAACGATCTGAAGGAGACGAAGATAAAGATTGTAGATCGATCTGATCTCCCTAAGATAGAAGATTAAGATTATATAAAGGATTCGGAAGTGCTTCTAGAGAAGGGTTCTCGTTGAAAATAACATTTCGAGAACGTTCAATCTTCTTAGTACGCATATTGTACAATATATAGTTGTCACCTTTATCGTAAGCGATCAACCTAGCTTCTTCTATATATAGATCAAGCTTTATAGGACGCTTTTCCTTTAGAATTAAGAACTAATATTGATAACCGAGAGTACGAAGGTTAGATAGGTCAGGTTTCCTGCTATACAGAGCTTCGTAAGGTAATATCTCGATTTTTGAAGCGTATAAACGATTTATCGTATAGTTGATTCTATTAAGTAAATAACCCTAAAGGTATTTCGGGAGTTGGTACTCCGTTATAACCGCAATAAGGGGTTCAACTAGGTGACGATTTTTGATCTCGGCGACACTATTCAGTTGCTTAGTATAGAGAGGGGTAGGGTCCTAAACTGTACCCTTCGAAGCAAGATAGGTAGCTAGTAGCTTATACTCTATTGTATCGTTACTATGTACCTTCTTGATCGTGAACCTAAACTAGGTTTTTAAATGATTCTCCAGTTGAATATAGGTTTTAGTAACCTACAATCTAGATTGAAGAAGAAATAGCTATATAAACCGGCTAGCATCGTCAGTGAAGGTAATAAAATATCTCTCTCCACTATATAAAGCAATTGAAATTAGTCCCTATACGTTAAGATAAATGAGATTACTAGGTTTTAATCTGATCGATCTCTCTTTGCCGAAGGGGAGGGTATGACCCTTGCCTTTAATATATAGTATATATAGAAAGGTGATACCGGTACCTTTCTTTAATTTAATTCTATCACTATAAACTTCTATCTTCCGTACCCTATTCTCGCTAGCGTAATAAGCTCGACGGTAAGCTAGATTAACTGAGATAGGCGTAGGAGAAGAACCTTTCTTTATAGTAAAGACAGAATTAGGGGAACCCGAGACCAGATTGCAATCTAGTATAGTATTAACCTTATTAATACTAGAGCAGTTTAGCTAGTAGTGCTCTCCTTCGTAGATAGCAAAACCGACAACTGATTCTGAGGATGTATATTAATCCTGTAACTTGAACGTCATTAGGCCGTTCTTAACTTATATACCAATGTCTTCTTTGTCAAGAGCGGACATTGAGATTAAGCTAGCTTTGAGATCTGGAGTAAGCTATACCTTATAAAGGGTAAGCGAGCTAATGAGATTATCTGATTGTTTATTTGTCATTCGAAGAATAATATCTCTATATCCTTCTATATAGAAAACATTACCTATCGCTATCGATATAGGTAATACACATTAACGGAAATTAATGAAGACAGATTTATATAGGGTTATATAGGTACTAGTGCCTAAATCGACCATCTATCGAGAGACGTCGTCGTCACTAATATAAAGTGCCTCGGTAGAGACTGTGTATACCCTATATTCTTGAAACAATATATTGGTAAACAATGTGTTGTACTTAGCAATTGGATCGCTAGAAGGAGGTCCTTACTGAGGTAGTAGGTACGATACCGGAGTATACACTGTATTGGTAGTACGAGGTTGTTAATGAACCGGGATAATCCGTCCTTAGTTGTCAACCTAACCGATGATCTGGCCGGGTTGTAGGACAGTTACCTACTATACTTATTATTAAGGAGGTTGTATGATTATATTGGCAGAGCTAGTATTGTTCTTCAATAAACAGTTCCTCGAGTAATAATTATCTAGAGTATTATAGAACTTGCAATAGATAACATTCTCTTTATATTCGAAGGGCTTCTTCTTTTGCTTTTTGTCCTTATTATCTTTACCCTTTGGATAGGAATTAGACTTATTATTGTCACTACCTCCCTTCTTATCGTCCTTCTTCTTATTATTGAAGTTGGAATTGTCCTTATTAGACGACGAGGAGGTAGTGTTTGCTGAGGAGTGAAATAAGGTGTTATTAAATAAACGGTTGTTAGTCTCTGTCTCAATAAATTCGACGTAAACCTTATCTATAAAATTGGGTTCTTTCTTATTAACCCTAAGGTTTTGAAGAAAGGCGTAACACCGAGTATTCTCCGTAATAGATTTCTTAAACTGATATAGTTCAAGCATTGGTGTAGGAGATCTACTTATTGATAAGACGTTACAGAGTCCCTCTTGAAATCTCCGAACAAAGTCAGATAGAGACCTATTTTTGTAACGTTGGTTAACCCACTTCGTGAAGTAGGTATATACTTGTTAGTATGACGAGGTGGCGTATATCTTTCGAAGCTTCTTAAAAGCTTCACGTACATCTGTGACCTGCGAGACAATTGACAGAGGTTCAACCGAGAGGGTCTTTCGAACATAAATAAGGGCTCTAGTGTTACAGGATTGCCAGTTATTACACTGTATGTCATACTTCTTTCGAAGTGCTAGGTTGCCATCTTCAAGCTCCTTTGTACGTATACGAATTTGACTGGGAGTGATAATAATATCCTGTTCAGTTGTCATATCCTGCGCGTCACTAAGCAAAAGTTGCTTAACTTCCTCCCGTGAGGTATTAGCGTACTCAGGAGGTGATGGAATAGGAATTCTATAGGAAAGCATCCGAACGTAGTATCGGTTGTTAGCTGTGAGAGCTAGGAAAAGTGCTGTTTCCCAGTCCCGGAAGTTGGATTGTCCCTTCAGTTTTGGGACTGAATCCGTACAGTCAATCTCATGTCGACTGACCTCGAAGTCCTCAATGTTATAGGACTCCGTTATGATGAAGGTCTTCTTCTGCACCGGGGTGCTTTGGTATGTGATTGGTGGAACGGCGGTCGACGAGATCGAACGGCCAATGAGAGACGGCGGTCGACAGGGTCGAACGGCCAATGAGGGGTAGCGGTCGACGGGGTCAAACGGCCAGTGGGTGGGTGGGGTGGTCGAGGAATTCGACCAGTGAAAACTCTGATCGAGGTCCCACAGTGGGGTGGTGCGACGCAAAGCACCGAGGATTGGAGGAAAGATGAGGCGTGAAGCATACAGTTATGTAGGGGCTTCAACGGCAAGGTGCTCATAACCTGTTACAGAGAAGGCCAGGGACTAGTAAGTACGCTGGTAAAATCACTGTATTGCGCTAGAGAGAGAGAAAGAGAAGAAGCTATCTACAGATGCTAAGACTAATGTACTGGGAGCAAACAGCGGTGGTCACGTGACCTTCCAACAGTATCATTTCAAACAACGATGGGTCAAAAGGAAATGCACAAGAAAGCCCCGACTTGGCAGCATCCCGGCCCAATTTAATGAGTGATACAGATGCCGAGGTGTGCAGCCAGCATCTGGAGGCGCTAGCCATCAAACGGTTGCGGCGAGAATTTCGGTCATCTTGTTTTGGTGACATCATCTCCACTACAGGGATTTCGAGATCCATCGCCGGGCTTCTGTATAATATTGGTCGACTGGGCCAACTGAGATCTGCAGCTCTTGAGTTTGGAGACCAAAACCACTGGTTCTGGGAAGCTTCCGAAGCTGATTTGGACGGCCTCGAGCTCCAGCTAGATCAAATACTACTTGGTCGAAATAATCTAGAAAAAGCCTTTGAAACCTCTGTCAATAGGTTAAACCACATTGAAGGCCAGTACAACGATGATGAACTACAGCACACCATTGACCTCAATCGATATAATGATGCATTGGTGCATTGTGCTCGCATCGCTCTCCTGGAACGGGTCAAATGTGTTAATGCCGAGGACGAACGAATATCGGCTTCTACACAAAGGGTGTTCAATCTCTGTTCATTGATTCACGATTCTTCCCACACAGCAAAGCTCTTGGTTCTTCCCCTTTACATGGTAGGTATGCGGGACAAAACTCCTGAAACCAGATCTTTCGTCCGGTCTAGACTTCAGTCACTTGATGATATTATCGTAACGGATACCCGAGCGCTTCTTGGAATTCTCGAAGAGAGATGGGCAATCTCGATGGGCCCAGAGATCTCACCGCCGAATAAAGGTATGTAAAGTTTCCCTAGGCTGGATGTCTTTTTTTGAACGATTGACCCACTATTATATCTACAGACCTCTTCGTATTGTACTAGGTATTTCATACTACGTAGCTCAACCTGAAGAATAAAACAAGAAGGAAGCTGGGCACATCTGACATACTATAAATTATACACACAAAGAATAAGGAAAGTCAATTATACAGGCTTCCTTCCACCCGTCTCAGGTTTACAAACTTCAACACTACCCAGCAGTTGGCTATGGCTGTATCTCCAATGCCAGAGATCGAGAAATACTACATATAGTTGGCTATCTATTCGCATCTACGACAAAGCTAGGGGCATTCCGAAGACATAGATACCGGAATTTAAGGCATTAATCATACAATAGCTTACATATGTAGCTTTTATTTACCCAAGTACCTATATTACTGAGTGGAGCATTAAACCTGGGAAACGGTGGATGCGGTGCCCGTTTGGTTGCCGCAACGCTATTTACGTTTTGGGGTTGCGCCGCATCTTGCGGCAAACACATCCCTATGCATGCATACTTTGTCCTTACGTCAATCGACTTCAGTGTATGTACTAACTTATATTGCCGCAATTACCGCTAATCGCTGAGGCCTGCCGCAGCAGAGACATTGAGTGTTGAACAACCTCGAATGTACGATTATGAACTATGTAGGTTTATAAGTCCAACTTTCTTCCTCAGTCCAATGCCTAATTATCCACCAAGCCGGCCACATCAAAAATTGGAGACATTCTTTTAATATTATACTGATTTATTCCACAACCATGGACGATCTTCCTGCCACTGCAAAGACACATTGTGCCTGCCGCCCAAGGCTACGCATTCGAGGTTACGAAAGGCGAGCGGTTCCGCATTGTCGACATCCACGGTCTCCAGATTGCTGGCTTCATGGCTTGGGTCAACGAGCCAGGCCTGAGGGAACATGTTCGGATGTCTTACACTCGGTTCCGATTGCAAGGTGTCAGTCCCGATATTGGGGAACATCTCCGCACCAACCACGATACTCCTGCTTTGACTATCACCGCCGACACCTGCAAAGTCCACGATATGACATTCATGCCCTGTTTCCCGGAGATCTATGCCGAATGCGGGCTGGAAGGCCATCGATCCTGCACGATGAATATCACCGAAGCCATGGAGCCATATGGTATTACCTCACGGCTCAAGCTTCCTGATCCGTTCAACATTTTCATGAACTCATTATTTGTGCATACCAAAAGGTGATTAAATGACCTTGTTCAGAGATGTCAAACTCACTTTCTGTCCTATAAGGAACCGGTATTCCAAAGTCGTTGATTCTTTTCCGTGAGCATACTTCTCGCTTCTCTTTACAACCTGCGCATGCCATGTCACTTGATAGTATGAGTCAAGATAAGTCATTAAGAGAACAAGAATCCATTGCTAATATGTAGAAAAGACCTCAACAGCATTTTAACTCGATTTTATCTCGAATTTGGGCGGACTTTCAATCCTGACGCTTGGCTTGAGAGGAATCCCTACCATGCTGCATTTTCTGACGATGAGGAAGAGTGGATGGACTGTTAATATGCAGTGCTATAGGAGAATATCAAGATTGACCATATCCTTTTATTGTCTATACATATTGTAGTGAGTGCTAGTCGCAACTTCAACCTCTTCAAAAAGACGATGAAGAGGTTCTAAGACCTTTTAAGGCGTTTTTGAGGCGTTGTTTTTAGTGGGGAATCGGAATAAGCCGATTGAGATAGGTCATCTGAATCATTTTGACTGCATCTGAAACATTTGGAGTAATTTCCTACCCTTCGGGCTCCCAAAGGAGTTTAAGTCAATGACATTGTGATAACTAGGTCGTTGTTAGAAAATATTAGCCACCATTATTAATATGGCAAGTATGTGGTACCTCACTCCACCACCAAAGTTCAGTGGTGGCCAATGTCACCCTTTACCCGGAGTCCGTCCACCGCCGGTTTTGGAACATTTGCCATTTTCTCTTTTCGAAGTCTTTCCCCCGCCCTACCTTTTCAACACACTCTGGAAAAGATCTTGGATCCTTGCTTTGCACATTCTGAGTAGACTTCTTCCTACTCTTGTGCCTCTACGGCCCTCGACCCGGAACCCTCATCCTAGCGTCACAGTTCAATCTTGACCTTGCGATGCCAGCCTTGTCCGGCAATCTAGTAAACTATTGTCGCTAAAGGGTTGGTTCACAATAATCAAATCCCGGTCGCATCACTCATTCATTACTATCGCCAGCTGAAGAGCTGTGTGATCGAGTCGCGTGAGCTCCGAGAGACTCAGTTTTCTGCGAGCTTTGCGGTCAAACATGCTGCCGCAATGTCAAGGCCCCGTCTGGGCCATCGATGACCTGTCTCGTTGCTTCCAGCGCAAGTAGGTCTACACCAATGGCAATCCCGACCGTTGAAATTTTATGCTGATCATATGATACATCTTAATAGCATTCTTCAGGTCATACTTCCCCTAACAGTCTGCGGCGCTTCGCTGCTGCTGATCCTAATTCGCCTCGCTCATCGATATGTCCTCGCCCGAAAAGATGTCGCTTACAAGGTCCTCCCGAACAATGACTCCGAAGAGGAGGTCCCCAGTGCGACGCAGGAAAACGAGTCCGATACGATACTATCCCAAGCTGTACAACATGAACAATCTCAGGTTGAGGTCAATCGCCCGCGTGGGGAAATAACCGTTGTACTACTCGAAATCGCAGCTTTGATTGGACAAGTTGCGCTCTACATCGTCATTTTGTCCACTCACGCCTGGGGCCGACATGGAACCCTTCCCGCCGTAGCTGGGCTTGTATCGTGGGGTTATATCCTTTTCTTGGTGTTGGTCCGGTTCCTCTTATCAACCCTGGATCTTTCTTCTGCGCCGAGACTATGGACCCATACGGCAATTTTATACGGCTTCCAGTGGTTGTTCAACGTCATGGTCTTCCGATCCGCCATTATCCACCCCTTGTCCCAGAACGCCCTGATTCTCAGTAGTGTTCAGTTCGCTCTGAGCACGGTACTGCTACTCATTGCACTCACCACTCGCCGAGGCAACAAGCCGGTTCTGGTTGAGCGCGAAGATGGATTGGAGCCTCCGACACATCCCATGGCCAGTTTGTTGTCTCTTGCGACATTTTCCTGGCTCGACCCTTTGGTCATGAAGGGCTATCGTCAACCCCTGGAGCTTGCGGATGTTTGGAACCTGACTCCGTCTCAGAAGGCTTCGCGCGTGCTTACAGACTTCCGCAAGAGACAAATGAAAGGCTCTTTGGCATGGAAGCTGATTCGGTTCTTCATGGGCACACTTCTAAAGCAGGGTGCCTGGACAATCTTCGCCAATCTATTCGTTTTCATGCCTAGTCTGCTCCTCAAGGCTATCCTTGAGTATGTGGAAGATCCCCGGTCGACCACGCCCAATGCGGCTTGGTTGTTCGCTATTTTGCTTTTCTGTTGCGCCGCGGTTCAAGGTGTGGCAGACGGACAAGCCTTATACATTGGTCGTAAGATGGGCCTAAAAGTCCGTGCGATCATTATTGGTGAAATCTATGCCAAAGCTCTTCGCCGCAAGGCTGGCGCTTCATTGGAGGCTGTCAAGAAAGAAGATCCGATCTTGCCCCAGGACAAGAAAAGAAAGCTCTTTTCCTTCGGTCGCAAGAAGAAGGCCACGAATGGAAATGATGCCGAGGCTGGCAAAAAGCCAGAGGCAGAGGCCGAGGAACCTACACAAGCCAATGTTGGCACAATTATCAACTTGATGGCGATCGATTCCTTCAAGGTAAGCGAGGTTGGTGCCTATCTTCACTTCTTGTGGGCTAGTGTGCCAGTGCAAATCATAATGGCGATTACTTTGCTCTACCACATCATGGGTTTCAGTTCATTTGCCGGTATCGCTCTGATGGCTCTCATGTTGCCTGTCAACCTTTTCATTGCCCGCCAGTTCAACAAGGTCCAGAACCAGATTTTGAAGGGCACCGATGCCCGTATTCACGCCACCAATGAAGTCCTGCAAAACATCCGCATCATCAAGTACTTTGCCTGGGAGCAGCGATTCCAGGATATTGTCGGCGAGAAGCGCAGAACCGAACTAAAAGCCCTCCGCAGGCGTTACATCCTCTGGTCCTCCGCCGCAACCGTCTGGTACGGCACACCCATTCTAATCACGTTCATGTCCTTCTTCTTGTACACCGTGGTCGAGAAGAAACAATTGACCCCCTCAATCGCTTTCCCTGCCTTGTCCATGTTCTCTTTGCTGCGTGTGCCCTTGGACCAGCTCGCCGATATGGTGGCCCACGTCCAGGAATGTAAAGTTTCCTTAGACCGTGTGGACAAGTACCTGAACGAGGAGGAAACAGGCAAATACGATCAACTACGTGATAGTACTACCGCAGGAACACCTGCCAAGATTGGTCTTGAAAAAGCAACGCTATCCTGGAACAGCTCCACCGCTGAGTCTCCAGATACCGAAGCTGATGCCGACTTGGACGCTTTCCGTTTGATCAATGTCGACGTTGAATTCCTTGTCGGCAAGCTTAACATCATTGTTGGACCTACTGGATCTGGAAAGACGTCCCTGCTCATGGCTTTGCTCGGAGAAATGAAACTTCTCGAGGGTCGTGTTCATCTTCCCGGTGGAATGTCCAACAGGGCAGACCTCCCAGTGGACCCTGAAACTGGTCTGGTTGACAGTGTTGCCTACTGTGCCCAGGAAGCGTGGTTGGTCAACGACACCGTAAAGGAAAACATCATCTTCGCCTCTCCCTATAACGAGCGTCGCTATCGTGCAGTCCTCAAAGCCTGCGCTCTGGAACGTGACCTTGCCATTCTTGATGCTGGTGATCAGACTCTTGTTGGCGAGAAGGGTATCAGTTTATCTGGTGGCCAGAAGCAGCGAATCTCCCTTGCCCGCGCCGTCTACAGCAGTGGCCGCCACTTGCTGCTAGATGACTGCCTCTCTGCTGTCGACTCCCACACAGCCAAGCACATCTTCCGTGAAGCTCTTACCGGTCCTCTGATGTTGAACCGTACATGTATTTTGGTAACACATAACGTCGCTTTGACTGTTCCCGAATCGGATCATGTTGTGGTACTTGAGAACGGCAGAATTTCCGCCCAGGGTCGTCCCAACGATGTCGCCGCTACTGGTGCATTGGGCGATGAGTTCCTCAAGTCTCGACCTGGTTCCCGGTCCGGCTCCCGTGGACACTCCCGTGTCCCATCGGACCATGAAACCGAGGATGAAGATTCGAACGGCACTCCGAATGGAAAGCAGGAAGACAAAGCCAAGCTCTCTGAATCCAAGGCTACTGGTAGTATCAAGTGGTCGACCGTCAGCATGTACCTCCGCGCCATGGGCCCGTGGTACTATTGGATTGGTGCTGTTTTTGTATTTTGTCTGCAGCAACTGGGTTCTGTTTCTACCAACCTCTGGATTAGACAGTGGGCAAACTCTTACCATACTTCCAAGGATGGGACTGAGGATGCTGGACAGTACGCCGCTGCAGCCCACCTCAAGCCCCCTACTTTCAACGTTGGAAGTGTCGGGCGGGTGAGCAGCTGGAGTCTGCCCCAACTTGGCGCAAGCTCTGCTAGCGAGGCTGATGGTGAGGTGAACGTGGCTTATTACTTGGGTGTGTATGCACTCCTGGGATTCCTCTACATCGCAATCTCTTTGTCTCGGGAAGCTGTTTTGTTCTGGGGTTCGCTCCATGCATCGTGGAAGATTCATGATCGTCTTCTCAGGGCGGTCATGCACGCCAAGTTCCGATTCTTTGACTCCACGCCTCTTGGACAACTGATGAACCGGTTCTCCAAGGATGTTGAGTCTGTTGATCAGGAAGTTGCTCCTGTTGCTATCGGCATGTTACACAGTCTGGCATCTGTGGTTATGATTGTCATTCTGATCTCGTGGATCACACCGGGATTCTTAATTGCCGGTGTGTTCATCACCCTGGTGTACACTGCTCTTGGTGCAGTGTATCTGAACTCTTCCCGAGACCTCAAACGTCTGGAGTCTGTGCAGCGTAGTCCGCTGTACCAGCAGTTCGGTGAAACCCTGAACGGTATCGTCACCATTCGTGCCTACGGTGATGGTCCTCGCTTCGTGGTCGACAACCACCGCCGCATCAATGCCTACAACCGGCCGCACATCTACCTCTGGGCTAGCAACCGCTGGCTCGCTCTCCGTGTCGACTGGACTGGTGCTCTGGTCTCTTTCTTCTCGGCTACCTTTGTGTTGCTGAACGTTGGAACGATCGATGCAGGTGCCGCGGGTCTTTCACTGACCTACGCCGTTACATTCACAGAGAACGTCCTCTGGCTTGTGCGTCTGTACTCCGAGGTCCAGCAAAACATGAACTCTGTCGAGCGTGTAAGAGAATATCTTGATGTAGACCAGGAAGCAGCTCCTATCATCGAGGAATCACGACCTGGGTCTGATTGGCCCAGCCAAGGTGCGGTCGAGTTCAAGAACTACACCACTCGGTACCGGCCCGATTTGGACCCAGTTCTGAAGGAGGTTTCATTCTCCGTAAAGGCTGGCGAAAAAGTCGGCATTGTGGGTCGCACAGGTGCTGGCAAGAGTTCTCTCGCGCTGGCTCTCTTCCGCGGTCTCGAAGCCGAGAAGGGTCAGATCATCATCGACGGTGTTGACATCGGGTCAATTGGCCTACGGGACCTGCGCGAGTCAATCACCATTGTTCCTCAGGATCCGACCCTGTTCACAGGAACCCTCCGCAGCAACCTCGATCCATTCGGTCTCTTCAGCGACGAGCAGATCTTCACAGCCCTCCGTCGCGTGCACCTAATCGGATCTAGCGTCTCAGGCACCGCCACCCCTACAACCGCTAGCAGTCTCACCGCGACTGAAAGTAACGCCAACGGTAACGGCGTGAGCAGCACCGCAGTGACAGTAATCGACAACAAAAACGTCTTCAATAACCTTGACAGCCAGGTATCTGAGTCCGGTTCCAACCTCTCTCAAGGCCAGCGCCAGCTCCTGTGTCTCGCCCGCGCCTTGCTCAAGAACCCCCGCGTTTTGATGATGGACGAAGCAACCGCATCCATCGATTATGCCACCGACGCCAAGATCCAAGAGACTCTCCGCGAACTGAGCAACAGCACAATCATCACAATTGCACACCGTCTGCAGACCATCATCGATTACGACAAAGTTCTTGTCCTCGACCACGGCCGCGTCATCGAGTACGATCACCCCTGGAACCTCATCAACAAAGAAGGCGGCCTGTTCCGTAGCATGTGCGACAACAGCGGGAACATGGATGTTCTTCTAGATGGGGCTCAACGTGCTTGGACGCAGAAGCGTCTTGTTGATGATTCTTAATCAACGACGCCTGTTGTTGTTCCCCTTTCCATTTATTTTCCCCTTATCTTATAGAATCTCTCGCGTACATATCCATTGTTACCTTTGTCTATTACCTGTTATTGGTTTCCCCCGCTTATTCCTCGGGGCGGGGATGCAAAAAAGAGAGAGAGCGACAGAGAGACATCAATGTAATCATTATCATTTATTCCAATGTTACTATGGTTCTGTTTATAGCTTATTTTACTCTAGCACTGGTGTGACATCTTTGTTTTTTTGCCCTTTTTTCTGCTCCATTGCGCATGCACGATCCCTTTTTCCAAATATAATATTAGCTCGACGAGCTATTCATAGTTTTGTATGAGGTACATTACGCAGGTCCACGGCGCTTCCTTTTTAGTATAGCAATTCTCGGCGTATTTGTATTCAGACCAAATAAACCTACAGTGGCATTGTTAACACTGGAAAATATTCTCACCCGATAACATCCATTTGGAGATGATCCCAGAGAACAGAATGAGGTATCTTTAACCTGAACATGTCTGTCCATTTTCAATGCCCAAGCTGTTTCTTCGGCCAGCAAGTCCCATGAAGTGCCCGGCATTCCATTCCGCCCGTATAGCTCTCTTCTTCGATATCTCCTCCATTCAATTGACATTCTCATTGCTTGTCGCAAGTCAGAGTGGGAAGGTGATGGTGTGATTCCAGTTGAATCACGACATTTAGACGAGCCGTCACGGACGAGTGACCGAGCCACTCAGGATATACCCCCGAGCCCTGATTCCAGAGCTATTATTCCCCCATCTATGTCGATGTCCATAAAATCGTCGAAGAAATCCCATATCGAGGATGGGATCGATTCAATGGAGCGGGACTGCTAGGTCCAAGTCCCACAATAATGAACCAAATCTCCGACCGAGTGGAGAAAGGGTAGAGCTCCCAAGGCTGGGATATCCCATGGTAGTAGAATCCCTAGCTTCTCTTCATAGAAAAGCGCATTCCGAGAGCAGGAAAAAAAGGTAATGTGAGATGAATGTTTCAACGGAAAAATTAATCCAACAATCACATGTCGCATTCTCACTTCTTAGCGCGGATCCCCCTCAAAACGGTAAAGAAACACACGATCGCAGCTGAAACAACGAAGAATCCAAACGGCGGCCAGTAAATCGGGTAGTTGTCTGATGCAAACGCGGCCACGATAGATTCTTTCAGACAGGGCCGAGACTGAGACTGGGACTGGGACTGCCTCAGCTTTGTGTTCTGAGTTGTGTGCCAATCCGGCTGTGGTTGTCCCGATTCATCCGTGCCGATCGCTGTATCCGTATCCGTAACCGGTGATCTGCGAAGCTCCGTCTCCGTCTCCATTTTATGATCCCTTGATTTCGGCTTCGGGTTTGGTGGTGAGCCGTTTGATGAGGGTACGAATCCTGCTTCGCGCATGGCTGTTTCTTTCAACATTGCTGCGAGTTCATCTTGATCAGGTAGGGTTTCCGGGAAGTAGTATCGGTTGTTGTAGGTATTTGTTGACACCAGTGATTTGAATGCGATTGAGTTTTCGTAGGGAGTTGGTAGTGCGAGGATTTGGAGTGAGTGCATTAATATGAAGAGCAGGGCCAGTTTGCGGGCCATCTTCGCAAATGATGTGATGATAGGATATGGTGATGGCTGCGGGTGGGGAGGTGATAAGATTGACAGGCTTTCCCAGTTTCCCAGGGGTTTAAGCTCTGGGGTGGAGGATATGGATATGTATACGGAGTACGAATAAGAATAAGAATAAGAATAAGAATAAGAGAGTAAAGGAGAGAAGGAAAAGGGAACCGAAATAAGAGCGAGATACTATCAAAAGAGAAAGAGCACGTGGAGTCGCATTCGGATTCGGAAACGGAGGTCCCTCGCATAAGACATGAGACACTTTGTGATTCAAGTAGTCGGACTAGGATAGTAGACTATAATAGTAGACTATAATAGTATTAGTTGAATGTTAATTTAGTATAAAAGTTTAGGCCCTTATCTTCCTCTTTTTAAAAAGGCATCCTCTAGTCTTATATCTCTTAAGAATGGACCAATAGATCATGGCCTTATGCACCCGTGTTACCCCATGGACCCTTTTCCCCTCAGTTATACCTACAAAATAGATAATTCTGCGATTTTTGCCGAGACTAGATGAACTTCTTCGCATTCCCCCTCCAATCATCCTGAATATACTCCGTACGGAATTACATCCCTGCAAACTCAGGCACCGGCGCAAAACCACAAGCTCTCCCCCGGGGCCCACCTGCGCCAAGATAAGGAAACACGCCAAGCCAAGATCCCCATCGCGATAGCCAACTCGCACAGCAGCCAACCGCTAGCACTCGATTTGGGGTAGGTATATAGGTATACTTATGAATATAGTTGGGGTATGAGGGATGTAGTTCGTAGCTATCTGTGTTGGGGTTGAGGTTGGGGTAGATATATCCCGATTTTCAAATCAGTCTAATTAGTAGATTCAACCTCATTGAGTTCCACTTAAGTATCTGACTGAATAATCAGCTTTGTGGGCTAGTACAAAAATCGCGATATATATCCTGAAAACTGAGCTCTAGATTACATATGAATATCCCACTAGCTGCACACACCGGAAGCACAGGCCTGGATCTAGTGACCTGTGATTTATGTGTTTTGAGAGAGAGAAGATCCCGTAGAAGTGCTGCTGCAGTCTGCTGACCCATATCCTAGTCCGCGTTCTTACAGTATCCTTGCAATCCCTTCAAGCCGCAGTAGTAATCGAACTCATCCCCACCCATATGGAAGCCGAAAGAGAAGCAAGAAGGAGTGCCAGACCATCCATCCATAGCGTATGTATCCATTTTACCTGCAGGTGAATCTCATGTTAGAAGAGTACATTATTAGTTGCTCGGGAATGGATTCCTCACAGTCAGGGCATTGATCCCATTTTTTCGTGCCTGTATTGCGGTTCCGGTATCGGGTGCATGCATAAGTCGAGGCATCGGTGTCGAAGTCCCACTAGTATAAGTTAGCTTCTGTAACCTTGCAATTTCCTAGTCATACTAGTACTCACATATGCGTCTTGGACAGAGTTCCTACCATGACGCTTGCCACAGGCACAGAAGTTGTGCAGATCAGCAAGAACGCCGCCGAAGCTGGAGGGATTGTTAGGACACAATTTGATAACCTAGGAACCTAGGATCTAACTTAAGCCCGACTTACAAAAGCGAACTAGAGATAAGAATTGATAGCTTCATGTCTTCGGGCAAAGGATAGTAAAGCAAGGGTAGGTAGTAATAATAATGTGCTAGTGAGAGTCGAAATAAGTCGGTAGTCAAAAGGTCTTATGGTTAGGTAGGACGACAAGTGACGGGAGGAAGGAAGCAGCTCTACTATATAGCATTCTCGGAGAAGAAATGGGGGGTGGGGGATGAAATGAGTATGGTGAATCTTTGCACGGGGTACACGGAAGACAGAGTTCCCAGTGCCTAAATGAGGCCTTTCCTACAACAAGCGTCCAGGGTCCTATGTTAATAACTTTACTGGAAATGGTTGAGGCATAACGACGCCTAATAGGATAAGTTTCGCAACGCGATCCATGAGTGAGACACCTCAGAACACCATCGCGAACCCGAGAATTGTCAGGAAATCCTTCTAGAAGGTAGAGAGAGAAATTATTTTCCAAAGGATTTGCACTATAGTGTGTCTCACTCGCTGGCTTGGTGAGGCCCTAGGATTCCCCACTTTACGCTCAATTTAACTATGGAGCTAACACGTGAACTAGGCAACGTTGATATTGGCCCATACCAATCAATTATGCGACTTTATTTGCCCATTGCCATACATGAAGGATTCCACGAAGTTACTCCGCCCCTTTTGAGGATGTGAATGTTTGCATGCTCTTCCGGGGATCCGGGAAGAGCTTACAAAGTTCGGTATTGCATGCCTGGAGTCGACAGGAAGAAATGGTGCATAAATACCGGCCTCGCAGCCTAAGAAGCAGACTACAAAGCTTTTCCTTACCTTACAATCACTCTTATTATCGAACTTGGCAAGATGCGTCTGAGCCAGGTCGTTTTCCTTTCTCTGCTTGGCTTCGCCGCAGCTGCTCCTGCTCCCGATGGACTTGAAAGCGGGCCTGCTGTTGTGGATGATGACTTCAAGCCCGACTGGAACGCCTTTGAGAGCGACTTCAAACTGGCTTTGGAGGAGTTCAATGCGGATCCAACTTTGACTAAGCGCCTGAACACTCAAAGCTCTGGCAATGTCGCATACGGGAAGGCAATCTATGCCGCCGGTGCTGCCGCTGTCAGTCAGGTGAAGGGTCTTAAGAATTGGAATAAGGTATCAAATATGCTCTCTTTTTTCTCCCTCTGCGTTTTTGTTGTTGCTTCGGCCTTGATATGACGGGAAACTGACTGTCTCAACTAGTCCAGGGAACAGTTCGTCCAGCTAGGTAAGAAGAAAGAGAGCCATTTCTCCCTCTAGACATCCAGTGCTAACAAGTCATTTTCAGTCACCCAGGGGATGATGGACCATAACCCTGACCCCAAGACCGCTGTGGCTGCAATCTGCTACAACAAGGGCTATGGAATCAAGGACCCAGAAGGCATTTATGGCCTGCACAGCGAAAAGCTTTCTGTTTGGCCGGCATCAACCGAGTAGGTTTGGAGTATGCCTGAACGTACGATTAAATACTAACTAGTTCCAGCTACGACTGTTTCTACATGGGCAGAAACAACGCCTTCTGGTCTTACGGCGATGGTGGCACCATCAACGTAAGTTTGAAACCACCACTACAGAAGTTCCTAGAGCTAACAAACCTAGTTGTACACCCGCTGGCAACACGGAGCTTGTCGTTTTGACGACAAGTCGGATCTCTACTGCTAAATGGTAGAACTCTTCACAAAAGAGCCGGAAGGGGCAGTCGATATGACTAGTTTTATCCTTAACGATGGTCCCTAAGTGGAAGGAGCTCAACCATAGATTACCACGTGGCTGAGGTGAGGGCTGGATTAATTCTATAAGCAAGTTAGCCAAGATTTGCGTTGAGCCTCGCTCGTATTGGCCTGCTTGCCCCTCCTATGTTTGCCCTCTACACTCCTTCCAAGTCTACCTTGGGCTTTTTACCTAGTTTATCCTAATCCATTGCTCCATATATGTACTTGTCCATTCGCTATATTGCTTGTGTTTCCCTATTGCTTCCTCACTCTTTGATTGCCTTTTATTGTGGACTCATCTATGCCTAGGGCGTGGATCTACCATGCTCGACAGCTCCTTAGAAGTATGTCTGTTTAATCTAGAATATATATTCAAGAGTAACTCGAAGCTAAAGATAACCTCTTAATATTTTTAACTTTCATCTAAAAAGTAGCCTATTGCTACTATAAACACTTACTAAAATACTAATGTCTAGTAATCTAGCTGGTGGCATATCCACCTGGGCATTTAGGTGGTGATTATTAAGAAATGTCAAGCTCCCGAAAATCAAGTGGGGAATAACCTAGGTAGGTATTTTTAAGGTTCTCTAACTGACTAAAAATGACAAACTCCGCTATTTTAACAATCTATCTAGGTATGAGGACACAGCTGACTAACGATACTATGCACTTTTATATGGAGCAGGCCATTATGGCGGTCTTAGATTGAAGCATCCACAAGATATATAACTTCTGGGTAGTTCGTTGGATACGATGCCGCTAACCACCTATGATGGTCAAGACCTCAAACTAGTTCGATCGTATGCGAATTTCTTGCGTGTCAATGTTGGCTTGAATCTAATCAACTTGTCCTACGCGACTCTTTCCAACAGCCACCCATGCACGTCACCGTTACTGATATTCTTTTGCTATATTCTCTCTTGGCTGAATTCCTTGTTCCGCTTTGCCGGAAGCTATGTCGTGTCAGTTACAAGAATCGGTAAAAAGCCAAAACTGTGATGAAACGGGCCATCTCGATGCGTGGGCTCCATTCTAGTTTTCCCGAGAGAAAAAGCATTCAATTTATATCACCCAATCAATATTATCTTCCTAGTATGGCAGGCTCTATTAGTATTGAGTATTTGTCCAATCTGTACTAATATATTCTACTTATACCTTATATATTATATCACTATATATAATCTTAATTTTTATATTTCTCTAAATAGGATGGGTAATTACTGGTTAATTAGACACCTAGTAGGATTGTAGTTATTCCTAGCTATTACTAGTAGTATATAGTAATACTGACCTACTACTATAAGTTACTAGGAGCCACTAGTGAGTTACAACCTGAGAAGTTGACGACTATTGCGCTGGATTGTTATACCTCAAATTAGATTTCACTTCTCTAACATCAAACCAGCCTTTGCGGGCATCAAGGCCCCAGGTGGGGGAGCATTCTTATTCTTGAATTCATCACAAACCTGTTCCATCGTCACAAATTCAACACCCTCGTGCTTCTTGAAATGTTCAATAAGCCTATGGAAGGTCAGTCATATTCCGCACAAAGTTATCATCACAACGCACCTTTCATGCATCAATAGCACATGAGGCCTTCCCGAAACATCTGGATGGATAGTAATCGGGAAGATAAACTCATCATACTCGCGGTAGAAGTAATCGAAATGGTCGCGCCAGATATCCTCCACGTCCCGCGGGTTGACAAAGCCATGGCTATTAGGCGCGTTCTTGATGAACATCATCGGCGGTAGATCATCAATGTACCAGTTGGAAGGGATTTCAACAAGCCCTGTCTGAGATCCATGCTCAAGGGGCTTCATCCAAGTTTCAGCTTTCTGCTTGTAATCGATCTTAGTCCAGCTGTCGCCGGTTCGGAGGTAGTAAGCCTGACAGTCCTCGTGGCTCATGCTGTGATCGTACTCGATACCGTAGTCGAGGAGAAGCTGGGCGCCTTCTTTGCTTGTTTCCCACCTATTTGTATTCGATTAGCACCCTTCGATGAATCCCAAATCAAAGATAGTCGTACCATGGTGCCACGCTTCCTCGTGGGGGCTTTCCAGCGAACTCGGTCAACATCCGATACGTTTTGTCGAGCACATCGCGCTGCTGCTCTATAGACATATCTGTCGGGTTCTCGTGGGAATATCCGTGTAGGCCGATCTCGTGGCCTGCGTCCCGGACTGCGGCCATGTCCTCCGGGAAGGTCTCGAGGGAGTGGCCGGGGATGAACCATGTTGTTTTAATGTCATATTTCTTAAACAGCTTCAACAATCGCTGGGTTCCGATTGTTCCTGCCCAGTATCCTATGTCATAGTTAGAGAGGATAATTCCAGAGAGAAGACACTGGACCTTACCCCTGCTGATATCATTTGTGGAATCCTCTCCACCATACGAGCCTAGCCAGCCGGCTACAGCATCAACATCCACACCATATGTAATAAGAACTCGCTTTGGTGCCATTGTGAATGATCAATTGTTACAATTCTAACTCTGTTGATTACCGGGAGACGTTCGGCTTTTAAACCAATGAATGCGGGGAAGGTGAACCCCTCACCTGTTGATCACCCACCAACAATTTCGCTTTACTGATATACTGATTGACTGATACACTGATTTACACGATGATTTACATTTCTTAATTTACAACATTCGTTATCTCTCCCCTTAGTGAACTCCATCCACAATTCCGAGATGTCTCCAACACAGTTGGGGTTATGTTGGGGTAGGCAGTCATTGTCTCCAGTGAGACAACGAGACCCAGTTTAATGGACTCCAAGATTATATAGCGTTGGAGAAAATCACGATGAACTCGGAAAGGATTACGACAACAATAGGGGACCGACCACTCATAAACTGCGACATCCCCCAAAGATACTATCCAGAGAAAGATACTATCCAGAGGATATCCAACGGCGTCAAAGAGTGACCATGTCAGTTCTTTTCACAAGTATTTCAGAGTAAGTGTTACCTTATATGGTGATTTTTTCGTATACTGACAGTTGTTATAGGAGCAACCCCGTCAAACCGGGCGATGCGGAAGCCCTCCTTAAACCATACGGTCTGACCATCGACCCAGCCGAGGCACAAGATTTCCACACCCTTCTAGCAGCAGTCCATGACTGCGCCGAAAGCGTAGCTGCATTGCCGGACTATCAACCAGTCCCCGATCAGACTAAGTATCCACGCGAGGATGTGCGCCGACCAAGCGAAAAAGAACAAGTTTTCGGGCAAGCATGGGCACACCGATTTCTTATCCGGGGTAATCCCCAGGGAGGGCCTCTGGCAGGTAAATCCATCAGTTTGAAAGATGTCATTGCAGTTGCCGGCGTGCCACAGCTTCTGGGAAGTGATATCATTCCTTCTTGGACACCGAGTACGGATGCGACAGTCGTAACGCGATTGCTTGAGGCGGGCGCCGATATTCATGGGACGTCGACTTGTGAAAATATGTGTCACTCTACGTCTTCGTATACCAGTGCCCAGGGTACAGTGGAGAATCCAAATGCCCAGGGTTATTCAGCGGGCGGGAGTACCTCTGGCGGTGCCGCACTGGTTGCCGCCGGCATAGTGGACATCACTATTGGTGGTGACCAGGGTGGCAGTATACGCGTGCCCGCGTCATTTTGTGGATGTAAGATGTCTTTCTTACTTGAGGATAAATGTGCCACAAGCTAACTTGCTTCTAGGCGTTGGGCTTAAACCCACTCATGGCCGCGTTCCCTTCACTGGGATTGCTAGCGGCGATTCCATGAATGACCACGCTGGCCCACTATCCCGAACAACACTCGAGGCTGCAGCATGCTTAGATGTTATCAGTGGGTATGACGGCATTGATGATCGGGCTGTCGGTAGCCCGAAGCCAGGCTCTACCAAATTCGCGGAGACTCTTCAGCAGGATCCGAACACGCTCGACGGCTTCAAGGTCGGCATTCTTGTGGAAGGATTTGAGCACAGCGCAGTAGACCCACATGTCAAGGACGCAGTATTGATTGCTACCCAGAAATTCAAAGATCTGGGTGCGACAATTGAGGAAATATCTCTGCCAGAGCATTTGCACGGACCCGCGATCTGGACTATCCAGCAGCGAATTGCCGGGGCGCAGACTCTTTTGGGCCAGAACACAGGCCGAAGAGGGCTTTACATGACTGACATGGAGCGCGCACGGCTTCCATGGACTGATGGTGGTTTCCAGAGAGCGTTCCCATCCACAAAGAACGTTATCATTAACGGTCTATATCTAACGCAACAATTCCCTGATCTCTACGGAAAGACTGCCAATATCGGACGACTGATCAGTGACAAGTACGAAAAGCTGTTTGAGAAGTATGATATCTTGGTAATGCCTACAACGCCGGTTGTTGCTCCTCGACATGGAAAGCGAGAACTCCCGCTGGATTCCCTCAAGCCTAGCATGGGTCTTACAATCAACACTGCTATATTCAACGTGACGGGCCACCCGGCACTATCAATACCCATCGGGTTTGCTCCAGCAAAGGAAGATAACCAGATTATGCTGCCAGTTGGGATGCAGATCGTTGGTGGATTGTGGCAGGAGGAGAAGGTTTTGCGGGCTGGACATTCCTGGGATACTCATTTTGACTGGAAGAAGATGCATTACTCTACAGATAAGAACTAGATACTAATTTGCATCTGTCGCATTCAAATATTAGAATTGTGTTATCAATATCCTGTCATCTCAACGTATAGTGTAGCTAGACAGTTATATATCCACCATCAACCACCATGGCATGGCCCTGAACAAACGATGCCTGTGTTGAACACAAGAAAAGAATAGCATCAGCGACTTCTGCCGGCTGACCCATTCTCTTCATTGGTGCAGTCTCCACTGCTGGCATGATGGCCTCACGGACCTCAGGCTTTTCCATTACTAGTGGCGTTTCAATAACGCCAGGGCAAACACAGTTGACTCGAATCCCATCTCTGGAATAATCGATGGCATCCGCACGTGTCATTCCAATGACAGCAGCCTTCGAGGCACAGTATGCAGCTATCACAAACTCAATAATGCGTTTCATGGGTAGAGAAAAAAGCACTTACGAGCACCCGGGCGACTGACAATGCCAAGTTGACTGGAAACATTTACCACAGCACCGCGTTGAGGTGGGCGATTCGAATCATGGCTAGGGAGTCCACTTTGTGTGACCATCTGCCTAAGCTCTGCCCGAGATGAGAGCCAGCAGCCTCGGTAATTGATGTTATTGACGCGGTCGAATTCCTCAAGCGACATCTCTGCCGAGCGCATAGGCTTGCCAAGGACTCCTGCACAGTTTACGGCATAATCCACTCGTCCAAATTCTTGTACAACCGCATTGATAAATGCATCCGCGAATTGGTTATCTGCCACGTCCCCGGCCATTACTAGCAGCCGTACTTCTGGGTATGTTGAGGTGATGACCTTTGCCGTTTGTTGCAGGGATTCTTCATTAAGGTCTGTGATAGCGATTCGCGCACAGCCAGCTGCAGCGAAGGCTTTTGTAGTTGCGGCGCCGATTCCTGTTTGTTATGTGAGTGACGGATATCAATATTGCGGGTGCTTGGTTTACCAGTTCCACCTGCACCAGTGACTACTGCAACACCAGGAAACATATTGAGAGCTAATTGGGCCATCTTGACAAGATCAAATAATCATAAACCACCAGAATAAATGTGAATATATCTGAATGTGAACGATGTAAGCTCTACCTAGGTATACCTCCTGCCTCTCTCCAAATGGGCCCACCCTTATCGCTTATCGCGGGCCGACAATCCCGGCGGGCCCCGATTTGGAGCAGTTGGGGTCGAATCTCTCACGTCGACATCCACTTGTTCAACCCCCAGGCCTTTTCTTCTCCAAACCAGTTCTCCATATCCCCCCAATGTTTCAATGTCCCCATCACCCCAGCCGCACAGGGGTGCTCGTGGAGCAAGGGCACGTATCTGTATACACTGCGGTCGGAGTTTCCGACGGACTGAACATTTGGAGCGACACATTCGCACCCGTAAGCAATTTCCGGGGAGATCCCCGCAGCTAATGCTAACCCGGTAAACTAGACACCAAGGAGAAGCCGTTTATTTGCTTCTGTGGGGCGGCCTTTACTAGAAGGGATCTATTGAAGCGTCACACACGCATCTCACATCAAGATGGGCTGACCTCACCGACGCCGCCCGAGCCAACGACGAAGTCGGATTTCCAGCCGACGCATCATCCTGCACCCATCCCGCCGCAATATGATACACCAACTAGGCCCTTACCCGTGGAAACCCTTGCAGGATCATCGGCTGTGCACCAATGGGCTGGGGCACAAAACACGCCATATTTAGATCCAAATCACAATGCCGGCATGCTTCCTGCCCCTACTGCAGGGGCTCCAAACCCAGCCATTGATCCCCATACGGGTATGGTGCACGATCCGGATATGCTTCAAGCTGCCCAGCTGCTTCTTCCAGGCGATTACAGACCTACAGGTATGTTTTTGATGATAGTTGTTCAAGTATATACTTCCTAATGCCCTGTGCAACATGCAATACCCTTCTCTTTCGTAAACGATCTTTCGCATTGACTCCTATTCTTGGAAATCTATTGATCTGACACAAAAATAGGACAACCGATGCCCTACTTACCCGAAGATCTGAATCATTTCCAGGAATTCACCCATTTCTTGGATTCGATTGGCTTGCCAGGGGAATGGGTCCCCAGCGAAGGCGAAACATCTCAGACACAGGAGGTTAACCTGGAAGAAGTAAGAGAGACAGGTCGACACACCCAAGAGCACAATGAGCGGCCACGACGAAGCGGAGAAGGTTCTCGAGGAGACTCACCATTTAGATCATGGCTTCCCTCTGTGCCAAGGGGCGACCAAAGCCTCGGCACTCTCTCTGATTCTGGTAACTAGCACCTTATATTGCCACAATTCTCTAGATTACTGATATTGTTCCAGAACCGCCCCAAAGCGCAAAGAAGACATCACGATTCAATGTCACCGAAGACCAGCGGTTTCGGCTTGCGGCATCTCTCGAAGAATTTCGCCATGTCATTCCGGACTTCGTATTGCCATCTCGTCACACATTGACTCGATACCTCACTTCCTATTTTGAAGGATTCCACCCACATCTTCCCTTTATGCATATCCCAACTTTTCATATCAATGAACGCGCCCCCGAAGTGGTTCTTGCCATCATGACGATCGGAGCCCAGTACAGATTTGAGCACCGCAACGCAGAAAGAATATTTCACGTTTCCAAGGCAGTTCTATTTGAACGGATGTCTAGAGAGCCCCGTTTCCCGGCTAAGCCAAACTACAATCCAGGCTCTCAAATACCGCTAGGGATATCTCCTTATTCTAACTTTGGTGATCAATCCCTCACGCAACCACAGGTAACAGCGGAAAGAACTGCCGTTTGGAAGCAGATCGAAATAACTCGCTGTCTCCTTATTCTGATGGGCTACTCCACGTGGGAAAACGCGAGACTGGTGCAAGAAGCATTCCATCTTCAGGGCTTGTTGGTCCGGCACCTCCGCGAGGCTGGGTTGACGGAAGATACAACACGCTCTGATCCACGTGCACCACTCGACTGGTACGAATGGGCGGACCAAGAATCCGGCCGACGCACAAAGTTGATTGCGTTCTGCTTTATCCATGTTCACAGCATCGCATACAATGCTTATCCATCTTTGCGCAGCAATGAGATACACTTGCGTCTCCCGTGTTCTACCGTCGAATGGACCGCTAGCACCGCTGCGGAGTGGGAAGCAGCTCAGCGAGAACGAGGTCCCCAGCAGTTGTTCTTCCAGGACGCATTGACCCTCCTCTTACAAAAGTCCCGATCGGCCAAACCACTAGACCCCATCCCGGCTCCACTGGGTAATTACATCCTCTTGCACGGACTCCTGCAACGGATCCACCTCGTGAGCGAGCTATCGTTACCGAACGGCAACCACTCCACAACCCTCCCAACAGAGGAACTGAATAAACTAGAGTAAGTCCCCTACACACAAGTCTTCAGTAGATCCACCTCTAACTATTTAATTCACAGACGAGCCCTCCGCTCCTGGACCTCCGTGTGGCAACAAGCCCCAGAATCCAGTCTAGACCCACACAACGCAAATGGGCCAATCCCATTCACCTCCAGCGCCTTCTTAGGACTCGCCTACGTCCGTCTATCTCTAAATCTCGGTCCTCATCGCCGCCTAGAAACCCGCGATCCGACAATAATAGCCAGCGCACTTCGCCGCTCCCCACGCCCAGAAAGAAGCTACCGTCTCATTCCGGCACTTATCTACGCCGCTCATGCTCTCAGTATCCCCGTCCGTCTAGGAATAGACCACATTGCTCGCAGCCAAGCTTTCTTCTGGAGCGTGCGGCACTCGCTGGCTAGTATTGAATGTGCAGTGTTACTAAGCAAATGGCTGTTTACCATTGCAGAGGCGGGACCGGACCAGTCGTTGAGTGGTATGTCGATGCTATGTCTGCCCTATGTGTGTTACTAGCTAACAATCATGATACAGAAAACGAAACTCGCATTCTACGGTGGACCCGCTGTATTATTGAAGAGGCTTATTCGTCTATTGATACGGATGACGGTGAGGCGCCGCCAGATCTGGAACCGGCCTCTTTGGGATTGGCCGTTCTCAAGCTTTGGGCTAGGTTGTTTGGAACAAATACTCAGTGGCCATTTATTAATGTCCTGGGACAGAGCTTGGAACAGTATATAACTATGATTTGATGTTGATATTATGTCTTTGGCGTTTGTATATATTGAGGCTTGTTGGAATATAATGTGTTCATGATCTCATGATCCTAAGTGACTTTTCTAAACATCTACAACTAATTCAAGAGCCGAATATCACAGACTACATTGAATTACAGCTAGTAATGATTCGAAGGCATTGTGTTGTCGATCTATGCCTTTGACTGTGGCGCATCGCCATCTTTTTGTGCTTTTCTATTTTCCATTTTTGTAAATTCAGCTCTCACCCACGAATGCCTTTTGACCGTCTTTCTCCTGTTTTCATTATTCCTCCTAAGTCATCAATTCCACCACTGAGCTCACCATCACCCTCACCCGTAGGCCCAGTAAAGGAAAAGAGCGCAGCAAAGTGACATCTGCCACCGATCTAGGAGAGCTCGATCAGCCGCCCTTCCATGGGAGGGATTACGTCTTGCTCAACCGTAGGAGTGAGTAAGACGTCGACTGGGCTCGGACTTGTGGTCAAATTATCGTTATTCCGAACCATGACAGTAAGTTGATCTTCCCCTGGACTCGCACCCCCAGCCCGAGAGTCATCATGCTCTTCAAAGGTCAACAGGTCCTTTCCAAGCAGAGTGGGAAGGGTATCTTGTAATTCATTCATAGCCTCGCCCAGACCATCATCAGCTCCATCATATGTAAGCAGGTCTTCAATGGGCAGGGCAGCAGGCCGAATTTCTTCCGTAACCGGAACTTCCTGACGGTCTTCGTCATCATCGTCAAAGTTGATTAATTGTCCTTCGATCGGAGCGGCGACGCTCTGTTCGACTGGTGTAGCATCTTGTCCAAGACGTTTCTCTCCAACTACGAGCCCAGCCCGACGATAATCATCCAGCACGGCGCCACCCCGTGCAAATGCCTGCCACCGGCGCACACCCTCGACATGCCGCTTTGCTTCTTCGTCTGCGGTAGAGGTTGCGGCGCGGGTTGGGGCTCGGCGTCGTGTTATGGGACCGACCTTTTCGTCGCGATCATCATCATCGTGGTCAAAGTCATCCCAGTCTGATCCGGCGTCAAAGATCTGGGTTTTGCTCTCCTTGCCCATACCACAGTAGCAATCATGAGTGTGCGGTGGAGAGCACACACAAATACAGGGCGTGTTGCAGCACTCGCGAACTTGAAGGCAGCGCTGTTTACATGATACCCAGTCATGTTCAGAACTAATGACGAACTGTATTAGTATTTTGGTGCATATAAACCGTGAATAGCTTCAAATCTTACCCATGACATTTGCGGGGACATGGATGTCCACATGGCAAATTCTTGCCACAAGGCTTGTTGCAGCCGTCAGTAATAGCGTTCCAGTCCTTGAGAGCTATAAGAAGTAATTAGATTTTCTCTTTTTCCATTAGCATTTTCAAACATGATAGGGACTCACTTTGGATGAGGGTTTCTTGGTTGTGTCTCGTGCAATACAGAGGCAGAGCGGGGCCAATACGGGATTCTTGTTGATTCTCGGACATCACGTTTGTAACTGAGTGCCAGAAATGGCTGTGTTTGCTAACACACTGTGCATTGCCGAATATGTAAAGACCGTATTTGGCGCGGGACAAGGCAACACAGGCTCTGTTGTCCTGTGCGAGAAAGCCAATCCCTCGATGATCATTCGATCGAACAAGCGAGAGAAGGATAATATCATTCTCTTCTCCTTGATATGAGTCGACAGTCAGTATGTTAACGTAGTGCTGGGAGACGTTTTGATTCTGTGACTTCTTTCGCATGATCAACTTCCGTTGACCATTGTAGAATGTCAGGACAGTAATACTAGCTGCTGGGACTTTGTTCATCACAAGGTAGGCAAGGAGATTAACCACCATTGATGCCTCAAAGTCATTCACCTTGGACGACAGACTGTCGTTGCTTTCGTGTGCGGTGTGGTCGAAAAAGAAGGATCGTTTATCTCCCATACCAGGAACCAAAGGATGATCCTCAACTGACGGATGGTCACGAAGAATATCCCCATATATGGGAGCCACGAGCTTTCTGATTTCTGGCACCATTCGTCTTTGTTCTTGAAGCATAGAGTACGGCATTTTGTTTAATATCAGACGTTCAAACATAGAGACATCGAGGTGAAAAGGATCACCGGTGAGATCATAGTCAGCACATTGACCCTTGAGCTGCTGGTGATCACCAACTAGAATAAGATGCTGAAGTGATGGAAGGCAAGCGACTGCAACTGGGGCCTCGAGTACTTCCGCTGCCTCCTCAATCAAGATGACCCGGGGATTCAAACTCGAAACTAGCCCTCTGTATTTGCTTAGACCAGTGGTAGTCATCCCGATAATCTTTGCCTCTTGGAGAATACAGTAGTCACGTTCAAATCTACCGATTTGAAAATTGGTAGCGCAGCCTTGGTAAGTTCGAGCGAGGCGCTGCACATGTTCTCCCAGGATAGTTATTAGCTTCCCACGCAAGTAGTCGTAAACGGCACCGCGATATCTCTTGGGAACCTTGTAGAAGTCCCTCTCTTTTAGCAGGTTTTCAACAGTTGCCCGAGAGATTTTGGCGCTGCTGGAGCTGCAAAGACCAGGCGATAATGGGAAAAAACGTGTCTTGAAAGACGACCAGTCATCTTCATATTTTCCATGTTCCACTTCGATCTCCTTCAGCTGCTCATACTCCAGATCAATATCATCGTCAGCGAACCCAAAGTCACCGGCGTATTCAGAGTCGAACCCCCTCACGCAGTCTGCAAGCCAAGCCGCCAGGGGATCGGTACTTGCACGAGTGTTGGCTTGCTGCCATTTATTTGCTGTTTCTTGCAGGGAATCAACCTGGTCTTGGCTCAAAAGATCATGGTCCAAAAATAACGATGCCGCAAAAGGCTTGCTGTTGTTTGATGGTGCAAGTGGTGTTAGAAGTTTATCAAGCTCAGCCGCGAGTTTGTTCTGTTTCTTTCTCATTGGAGTCATCAAACCTCCTTCAATTGTCAATAGACCCTGGTTTTGTCTGATCTCATAAGGGGTGCGCTTCCGGATTTCAGGATGGGAAGTTCTTCCGCCCAGCCGGACGTAGTTTTTCTCAAACACCGAGATATGCTTTATCAGTTGATCAAGAGCATGGTTAGTTTGAGCAGCAATAATGATAGGTGGCTCCTTTGGATCTTTGTTTGAGAGCATCATTCTTAAAGCAGCTATGGAGGTAAATGTCTTGCCTGTTCCAGGGGGGCCCTGAATTATGGCCAGCCTTTTAGTCAACATTTGATTCAACGCTGACCATTGTGATTTATCTAACTGTCCCATTGGCTGGGAGGGCCATCGCTCGAGGATGTCGTATTTTTTGGTGACATCAAGTGCAGAGGATTCAGACAATGGCGTGAAGTCCATGGATGGCGCGGTGTTAATGTATTCTGGTGCATTAATGTCTTTTTCCAGGCTGCAGATTTGTTCGTTCAATGGAAAACTAGATAATGTTAGATTATCCTTTCAATAACAGTAAGACTGGTTTGTTCCCCGACCTTTCTTTTGACAACTTTTGCAACGCTGTTAGGGTGTGCCGATTTGCCTCAAAATATCCTGCTCGAGCCTCAACCATGATCCATTCTTGTCTAGTGAGATATAATAGTCAGTATCATCATATTTTACACAACCACACGGCCATGTTATTACTTACTGTGGATCAACCTCGATATCTCCAGCCGAGGCCAAAAAGAGGTCGACCTCGGGGGGTCTTTCTCAACCGCTTCCAGCAACCGACAGGCCACGACGGCGACAACACATTTGCTCGAGAAGGCATTGCGCTTAGGGGTCAGGGCGACAATTGTTCCAGGATTAAGCCGGTTGGAGTATGTCCAGGAAATGTTCTTGCCCGCGCGGCGAGTAGAGAATTGAATATGTAACGCCAAGCCCGCGCGGGCTAGGGTAACACCGACAACGAAGACCTTTGAGGAGAAAGAGTATAAGAATCATAATCTATAAAGTCTAAAGAGAAAGGATTCACTCACCTTCTCATAGATGGAAACATCAGGGGTATCTATCATAGAAGGATCAGCGCGAACCCTGGCTACAGCATTTCGAAGTGGTGCCACCGAATCTTCTCGGATCAATGAATAATGGGCCTCTAGGTATTTCTCCTTGGAAGTCCAGGGTTCCAAAATGCAATTGGGGGTGAGAGCAACAACTTTTCCCGGTATATCTGTTCCGAGGATTTCTTCAGTCGAGGGAAGTTCTGGCTTGGTTTGCCAAAGTCTCCAAGGCCCATAGATTGGTAGATCTGGGTCGAAGTACTGGCGGATTTCTGGATTAACTGGCTTGATCTGCTCCTTAAGCCGATGTCCATATTGAAAGCGAAAGTGAGACATGATCGTCTAAAGAATGCGTGGGGTTAGCACGTATATATTTTAGGGACCATCTTCGATCGTCCTTACCAAGACTCTTTTCTGCAATCGATGCTCCCGCCGCCCAGACAGATTTTATCCTTTGAGAAGTCAGCTGTAATATTTTACCTTTTTCACTGTGAATCTTTATGAAGATATGAAGATATGGAGAGTGGAGAGTGGAGCGTGGAAAGTGGAAAGTGTGGAAAAGAAAGAGATCAAGGGTCGAAGTCAAATCTCGTGCTGAATTTGTGTCAGGTGGATGAGGTCGGACGAGTTCAGACGAAAGGTGATAATCCGTGTATGAAAATAGATGAGGTGCCAATGAGCAGCGGCAGAAGTCACCTAAAAGGAAGGATGTCGAAGAAGAATAGAACAAAGCAAATCAAAGTTGAGAGAAAGGTTGTTATATCAGATATCTTGTTGATTATGTACATATTCTACTACCTAGGTACATATATATACCTAATATTTACCGCATATGTATACATAAAGTATCTGATAGTGTTACATTCTGAGAGATGAATTTATTCTATCTACGTGCCTAATGAGGTTCAACATTCCGTACCAGACCACGTCGGCCACAGATATAGTCCAACCTTCAAGGATAGTTAGGGATGTTGTACTTTGAAAAGCGTGTGAGCACTACCATAATTTACTCTTACTAGTATGCATAGTTACATCCAATGGATGTATATGTATGTATAAAACCCTCTTAGCAAGTCGGTCGATGCTTTCTACTTTTAAGTACTGGTAAAGGTAGGTCTTGAAGGTCACCCTTGCTATTTATTAAATGAATTTAATGTTACTCTATTAGGTAGACAATAGATTGTAACAATTGAGGTGACATGTATATATCCCTAGCTATTGTACCTATTGTAGTTCAATAGGGAGTGAGTATACAGCTTAAGAGCCCTTGATGCTGATTGGTCCGCCAAGCATCGGATCCATTCCCAGATTGGTGTCCATTTTAAGCCGCGACGTCGCGACTATCTCCTTTGTGTGCTCCGGAGCTGGAGCATATATCCGATCTCACCGTCATTTACCTTATTCCTGGTTTCATCGGAGTTCTTCGTTTGTTTGAAAATCCCCGATCCCCTACTCCAATTGCGGCGCGCAAACGGTAGCTACCCCACAAGTCGGACTGCCACAAGAGCCCCGGTAATCATGGCTTCATTGGAGGAAGAAGAGGACCGTGACATGGGAGGTATGGCAATTGTTTGTTCCAATGGCCCACTGGCCGACCTCATCGATCCCAACGTTGCTAATCATCCCCGCCATTCCCTAGGCTCCCAGGACGGAAGCTCCGATAACGAGAACGACAATGACATGGACGACACAATGCGCGACGTCGATGATGGCGAGGGGGACAATGAAAATGAAAATGAAAATGAAAATGAAAATGAAAACGAAAATGATCAGGACGGGGATGGCGATCAAGATCCGGATAGCCCTTCGAATGCGAGTCAGGCGTCGGACGGCCCTGGCATGCAACAGAACACGAATAGCAATGCCGACAACATCGTGTTTGAACCGTTCTCCATTTACCACCCAAGTGTGCGCCCCGAATGCCTCACAGCCCGGACCTACGATGTAGTCCCAACCACCGCCGCGCCACATGCCACCTCGATCAATGCCATCACAGCGACAGCGGATATGCGTTGGGTTTTCACCGGTGGATCGGATGGTTTCGTGCGAAAGTTCAACTGGGCGGATTCAATAAACAGCAAGCTCATGTTGACCGTGGCGCAAAGACATCCCTTCGTGGATAGTGTGGTCAAAGCTGGAGTTCTGATGACATACTGGGAGAATATGGATGGTAGTCACCTGTCCCCGGTGTACTCTTTGGCCAGTCATAGCGAAGGATTGTGGCTACTTTCTGGGTTAGAATCTGGGGCGATTCGTCTGCAAACTCTCCGCCACGAAGAGGGCAAGGAAATTGCCCTTCTGCGACAACATACCTCGGCAGTGTCCACCTTGAACCTCACATCAGACGAGGAATCATTGCTCTCTGGGGGCTGGGATAAGCGGGTCTTTGACTGGGACTTGAATACCGGTCAAGCTAGACGAGCTTTCGGTGGCAGCGGTGGACAAATATCTGCTGTGCAGATTCGGCCCGAGTCCAGTCTTCCGGTCCCCAAGGACACAATCGAACCACAGCAGACCAATGGCACATATGCATCAAACTATGCGGCCCCCGGCACAGACAGCTTCAACTTCATGGATACATCCCACGACAATGGAGATACTGGCCCAGCCGAGAACCCGCAGGCGGGCTCTCCGGCAGACTCACTCTTTGGCGGAGCGGATTCATTATTCGGCGACGCGGATGGTGGAGTGGCTGATGGCAATGAGCCATCTGGTGGGGTATTTGGGGTAGACGAGGACGACGAGTTTGGCCGTGCTGTAGCCAATGGTGCTATGGCAGATGCCGACGCACCCGGAGAAGTTGATGATGAAATGCCTACTCAACCAGACGTCGAGCACGCACAAAGCACACAAAATTCGTTGTCGAAGCAAACAAATACTCATACAGACGAAATGCCCCAGCAAATGGAAATGAGCGATGCGGATATCCCGAACGGTCCAGTGCAGCCGGCTGTCAATGGACTCCCTAAAGCAGAAGATCTCGAGACACCTCCACCAGCCCCAGACTTCTCACAAAATCCGCAACAAGAGCAAGGTGTGACGAGCGATAATACGTTCTTGGCTGCCTCAATGGATGGGACAATCCGAGTTTGGGACCGGCGACAGCTTGATCCCGTCGCTCGCATCGCCCCCTATAATTCTCCTCCATGGTGTATGAATGCTTGCTGGTCACCCGATGGAAATTTCATATACGCCGGACGCCGAAATGGTACTGTCGAAGAATACAGTCTACACAAGGGTTTGAGAAATGCCGAACGAACATTCAAATTCCCACAGGGCAGTGGGCCAGTGACAGCACTCAAAGCCATGCCGAATGGGCGTCATCTTGTCTGGTGAGTAAAAGACCACTAGGTAACATAGAACCACTTTCCTAACATTTCTTCCAGTGCCTCCCATGATATCCTCCGTCTTTATGATCTGCAAAATGACCAAGGCGGCCAGACTTCTCGCCATCCGCCAGTTCCCTTCCTGATCATTCCTGGCCACCGAACCGGAACTATCTCTCAGCTGTACATCGACAATGCATGCCGTTATATGATCTCCACCAGCGGGAACCGGGGCTGGGAAGGAAATACCACTGAAGTCCTCCTTGGTTACGAGATCGGTGTGCCGCAGTAGGGAAACTTATACATCATGGACACATAAAAATATAATGGACCATAGTGACTCATAATAAACGAATACCACGACTTGACATCCCAAACCACGAGAAACCCACACAGTTGGATTGAAACCAATCATCACCAACAGTAATGGCCAAAGGCACAAGTTCTGAAATTGAAACGATAGCCATGTAAATCTATCATACATGGATGCATATCACAAAAACCAACGCCAGTACCCCTCCATATTTACAACATGTACAAGACCACATAAACAACCAAAAGATCTTTACTCATCATGAATGATTTCGTCCAAGTCCAACCCCTCACAAACTTCAGCTTGTTGTGATCGCCAGGTCCCAAAATGAGGATTGTTAGCCCACTTGACATGTCCATCACGATCGCTATCGAAATAGACATAGCCAGGCTGGTCGGCATCTGCCAATTTCGCTGCTCTGGCAGCTCCTCGAGGCCCAACAACAAGACTACCAAAACCAGGCAACGCAACATTGGGAACATGAGTTCTTGCCTCAACATTCCCATTCTCGATATTATTGACAGTAATGAGATAGACAGGCGGAAGATCTGCCTCACGGTTTGCACGAAGCGGCATAGGAATCCATGCCTCATTGTTATACGACTCTGGGCGGTCTTTATCGTGGCGGAGGGGCAGGGGCCGATCCAACAGCATATTATCCAGTTTGCCCGTGTCTAACAGTATACCAGGTGTTTGAACATATAGCACGCTGTCATACTGCATGAATTGGATCTGGCCCAGGTGGAGCAGCTTGCTATTTGTTGTTGAGTAACCCGCAGCTGTGGCTGCGGACATGTCGATGGGGAGGAGCCATATATTATATTTGGCGCTGGCGGCGCGTAATATCGATAACGCTTTGGTGGCAGATGGACCTAATTTTTTGGCAGACATCCTATCCCATTGCTCTGGGTACATGAAGAGACGGTCCTGGACGGCTGTTCCGTTTGTGGAGAGTTGTTTGAAGAAGAGGATTGCGGAGCAGATGTCTGATGGATCGGGTTCCGATAACATTTGAAGATAGGCATAGTTTCCAGCTGAGTTGTAGTTGGGTTGACTCCCGATAATTGGTATATCTTCGTCGGCTCCATACCCCGTGTCCGATAGACCTCGTTTTAGTGGCTTTTGGAATGCGGGGCCCGACCTGTGTCTGGCCTTTTGCGCGGCTTCTTGGGGTTTCAAAGCATGCTGAATGTTCTTGACGGATTGCTGCTGCAAGACATATCCAGAGATAAATAACAATGCGGTAAATATGCAGATCACTCCCATCGACACAATGGCCGAAACGGTAGAGGACGTTAGAAGAACCATGGCCACAAGGGAAGCTGCATGGATTGGATAGAGAGAATGTGATGAGACAAATTAAAATTTCAGACACGCATGGTCCCCTGGCTGTCATTCAAGATATAACAACCTTGGACTATTAATCTCCAAGGATGTCTTCCTGTTAGGCTTGTTTCATGACATCAGGTTGTTTACGTTGTCCACGCGACTATCGATAAGCGGTCTTGGCAGTGTCACTTTGCAGCATTTTGTTGGTCAAGAGGGTTATTTTTAGTCGGAAATTGATCATCCCCAGTCGAGATCAATAACATATGGAGACCATTCCAGCTGGAAATTAGCACATGGAAATGAATGGCAGAGCAATGTATAATTAAAGGAAGAGCCTATATACCTTTTTTTGTAAACACTGTGGAACCGCGGCGGCGATAAAGGCGGTGATAAAAGCGGTATCCCCCAAAATCCGCATTATCGCGATGGCCTCAAAAAAGCTGCCGTAGTCCTTTTTCGCTTCTCTTCGATGCCTTGGCACTTCCGTATCCGCCCTCACCTCCAAAATGGCAGCTCATCGCGCCGATGCCAGCTCGTTCCTCGATAATCGCGGTTACAAGGGCCCCCTGGTCCGTGGCGTGAACCCCGCCACGCTCTTCGAGAAAGCCGTGCGCGACCGCATCACCGACTCATATTATTGGAAGGAACAGTGCTTTGGTTTGAATGCAGCGACTCTGTGTGATCGTGCAGTCGAATTGACCTCCATCGGTGGAACATACGGTGTCTCTGAGAAACCAACTCCCTTCCTTTGCCTCGCATTCAAGCTCCTCCAGCTCGGGCCTGACCGAGACGTCATCCTCGAACTACTCAATTACACCGACCCTGGCAGTGGCGACGAGGCCGAAAATTCGGATGATGCTCTTGTCAAGGAGCGAGGCGACTTCAAATACCTCCGCGCGCTTGCGGCATTCTACGTGCGACTGACCTTCGAACCGGTCGATGTCTACAAAACCCTGGAACCACTACTTCTGGACTACCGGAAACTGAAGCGACGGGTGCGCGACACTTTCACCCTCACATATATGGATCAGTTTGTGGACGACCTTCTTACCAAGGACCGTGTCTGTGGTACTAGTCTCTGGAAGCTGCCGCCGCGATCACAATTGGAGGACTTGGATTTGCTTGATGAGCGTATCAGTCCTTGTGAGCCAGAAGACTGATCAGTCCTACATTATTTTCAGCGTACAAAAACACAATCCCGCAGAAGGGGTAGAGGCTACCAGAAAAGACAAGACTAACACGTCGGGTTATAGTGAGTTTTGTCTAAGTGGCCAGTGCTGCGCACTGTCCACGGGTGCTTCCCCCATAATCAAACAGTCATCTGCCGCCAAGCCTCGGGACATTTTTACCCTTTTGGGTAACAGAAGGGCTTCCACTTCGGTATACTTGTTCCCAGTTCTTATCTCTTCTTGTTTGACTGCAGAATCAATTCATTCAAGACAATGGTTCTCGCATTCTGTCCATATTGAACAGTGTAGTGACTGAGTTGACAGCTAAACCATCACCTCCGAACAATAGCAAACCACATGTCTCTAGTATGTACTGACAACGTCGTAAACCTGACAAACCGGGGTAACTGATATACATGCACCTTGTCTACTTTCGTACCCCTATGTGCATGGTAGAACAAATGATAAGGGGATCTGGAAAGAGTAACATGATACGCATACCCCGGCTCTCCATAAACTGCTTGTGACGTCGACACCACAGAAACCAGCATAAACAAACGGTATTTCCACTCCCAACACGGCAAATCCAATCGAGCGAGATGACCAAAGAAGCTATCCGACGCGCACCTCTTGTCACTGTGAATGGATGCGAATTTCACCCCGCTTCGGACATCTCTCATCTAAGTGCAACGATATCCGAACATGCTTTGCGCACTCTTAGTCCGGAGAGTACTTATTCGCCTTGGCCCCCGTCCATCCATAGATCTGTACTCACTTTTTCGAAGCCTGCCCTCTGCGACTGTTGTGATATAAATTTCGTATATCGAGTCTCCATCCACCTCCGGTCTGCCCTAACTCGTATGGATTGAGCCGCTATGGATTTTTTATCGACAACAGAGAATCTCTGGCGAGTTGGACTCATCCTACTAGCTGCCACTGGAGTCTGTGCCGTCATAAATCGGACATTTCGCAGCTCTCTGTTGGCTAGTGTTAAGCTGCGTGGTCGAAAACACTCGACTGCCCGAACACCACCACGGTCTTTCTCACCGGAGAAGAAAGCTACAACAAGCCCAACTGCCCCATCTAGCTATGACAATGTTCTCCCGCCCCAACGCAGACATACCCTTGCAGACCTTAATTGTGATACCGTGCCTGAACGCGAAGTGAACGAAGACGAAGTGCGTCGGCATATTCTACCCATGAGCGCCGACTATAGAACCAGCCCGCGCGACAAGTATACACCGATGGGATTCTCGGTGGCAGAGATAAAAGGACTTGGAGACTTTCCAGACTATGCGACTCTAAGTGGAGTTCCCCTTCCTAGCCCATATCCCGAATTCAACATCGAAAAGGCACTGCCTCGGCCATACCGTCCCTTCCGCTGGGCGTATCACCAAACTATGTGTACGTTTCATAGAAAGTTTAACATACATGATTTGAAGTTAACTCTCTCCTTTATCCAAAAATAGCCTTGACCAAGCTCGAGACAGACTGGTGGATCGAGCTTGAAAGTACATACAAGAGCCGCATCGCCCAGCGCAAAGAACTCTACGCCAAAAATGGCAAGGAAGTCCTCGATGCCATGCCAGGCTCCGAGCTTGCATGCAAAGAGTTAATGGAAATGGTCTTGCAATTCATCTGCACCCGATACCCACAGTATTTCACACTGGTTGACAAACGCGTATTGCAGAACAAGATCCTCGGCACTGAGCAGGACGTTACCGCTATGCCCCCTCTCGAAGTACTTCTGGACAATGTCCCGGAGGACTTTGCAATTATGCTTCGTGACGAAAAGACGGGATTTTATTTCCTGCGTGCGGCGGTGATCTGCTCCGCGCTGGGGTGGAATGTCGCATCGAAGGTTGGGAAGCAGCTGCATGAGATCCATGAGCCGATTCCGGACTATAAAGAGAAGATGCAGTTCTCGATGGATCGGTATGTTAATGTTGTTTCAAGTGGAGATACCGTACTATGAAAATACTAACGCGAGAGCTTGGTTTAGATTTTTCACCAAGATGCCCACCGAGAAACCAATCCAGCGAGGCTCGTGGGGTCTGGAAATTGGACAGCCATTGTACATGCCACCAGGTGACCCTCACGAACTCGAACGACTATCTCAGCGGGATAACTTGACCATTGATGAGTGTCATCTGCGGGTGGACTGGCAAACTCTCAGGCGTCTACCTTTGTCCGGTGCAGTCATTTTCAATTTCAAGGGGCTTTTTACTCCAGTCACTGAATTCCGTGATGAGCCCGGCGTACCGGGCTTGGTGATGAAGATTGTTATGGAGGGAAAGAAAAACCTCATGGATTACAAGGGTGTTTGGCATGTGCAACATGTTGTGCTTCCTAAGTTGAAGGAATGGGCCGAGGAGCAGAAGGAGAATGGAATAGTCCCGAAAGATTGGGAAATATCCACTTTGGATGATAGTCCATGGTTTAAGGGTTGGCAGGAGAAGTGGCATCGGCAGCAGGGATTCTAGGCGGTTGATATGTGATTGTTCGCTGTTTTTTATTTCTTTAATTGGATGGTTTCATGATTCCCAAGGTGGCAGGTATCGTTTGATCCATCATGTCTGCTTCTATGTCTCTCATCGCCACTTAACGGGGCTCAAAGCCAAGACACATCCTACAAAATTTCAGCAGACAATAAACAGGTTCATTGTTTGTATTCTTCGTTGCCTCGTAATATCCACATATCATTTGTGTACAAACTCATGCCAAAGGTTTACCATGTGTAGGTCTTTAATAAGCACAAGAAGCAAACGAATCGCAATATAATGTGTGACAGATACATATGTAGCTACCATTCTAACCCTTGAAACAACTCATTGTTGGCACACGCAATTCCACCCAATTCGGTTAGTGTTTGGGTTAGGTAAAAGTGAAAACTCAGAACATGCCTCAACAAAGTACTATACAGAACCAAGGCCACTATCAGAAATTCAGGCAACTGCAGGGAATACCGAGGGACAGCTGGCAACATTGGAACCGTAACATTCTGCAATGGGCTACTGCGTACTATGGCGAGGGCGCAAGAGCAACCGGACGCGCAATAAACGGACGGCGAGTCATTTCCCACGGATACCGACCGCTTCGAGGTAGAATTTGTTCCAGACTATACAGTGCAGCGCGTAGGGTGCCACATAGCCCCTTGAACCGACTACCTGATCCAACGGTAGATGGGAATTCTGCTCCCTCGAGCTCGTTCGGACTGGATGGCGATTCATTCTATCCGATTGTGGAAGCTGGGTGATTGGGCAATTTCGAACATTGTTTGATTCATATAAGCTTAGAGGTGCGAATCCCCTGTGATGTAGCCAGGGTGGTGAAGCCCAATTCAAGCTTCTGCCAGAACTTGGTGGAATAGGCTTAGGGCCAAAGGGAAGAGAAGTAGTTGTGAGTGAGACCCTGGTGGGCAAAGGCATTTTTAGATCGATGGTTGTAGAAGAAAGGGGGTTGGCAGAGTGTTAGGTAGTACCTCTAGCCGAGGTATTTGCTCTGCAGCGTGCTCACGGCTGTGTCCATATTAGAGGCTGCCGAGTCGCTTGCGAGGGTGATGAGTGCAGAAGAAGTCGTTCAGACCTGTGGTTGACTACTAGCTCAGATTAAATGACAGCTCTGGTAGGCCGGTGGTTAAGCTGCTTGGGAGGTGGTTTCGTGGTTTTCCCGTTAAAGATAGGTATTCTTGAATCGCCCATCTTTAGATTCAATGAATTCTTCAGGATGATTCGTTTTGCCCTTCCCTAGTCATTCAATGAAGTGCATAAGAGGTTGGATGCATATAGCAACAAGTGCGGAGAGAGGTATGAGGATCAAGGCTCGCAACTCGTAGTTATGAATATTCACACCTTTTAATGTTGACTCGGCGAGCAGTCACTCCATTACTATTATACAGGATTTGGCACCACCAGCGATTGCCGTGGCCAATGAAGCCATTCTTCCCACTGGGGTCCAAGATACTGAGTGATTGAGTCAACCAGATACTTGCCGCCATCACAGAATACCCATGAGTGTTTGTGGGTATCAACGAGGGCGCCGAAATGCGCCAAGATGACCAAAGCCTCACATTTCCTCTGTGAAACTAGATCGATGTATTCGCGAGGGACAAGTATCGGCCATGCAATGAGAACATCTACACTGTTGTCCTCTGGAACTGGTCTATTCAGCACAGTGATGACGGACTGCAAGGCCTGGATAGCCTGTTCATATGTTTTTGTGGTAGTGTCATTGTGACCAAGGCTTTTGATGCGGTCCAAAAGCACATGGCAAACGGGGCCTAGACTTTCATTCTCCGAAGGAATCCTTGCTCCGAGATTCAAGATCGGTTTCAATGCTGTTTGTTTTAAAAGTTGCCATCTCCCCCCGCCTGCGACAGTGCGTACCCCATAGTGTAACACGACATACTGAACGAATTGGTCAAGAAACTCCTCAAAATCATTGCCGCGATAGACTAGTGTCTCACACAACATGTGAAGCCCGAGAATGCCAGCGAATAGGAAAATTGCAACGTAGTTTTCGTCATTGATTTGCGATGATGAGCTGTTGAATGAGCTCAGTGCGTAACTCTGCAGTTGGGTAGAGTGGTGCCGGTAGAAATCCCGTTGTTCCGGTCTAATTATGCTGAGATGCAAAGAACTCAGAGATAAAAGCTCGTTCATAAGATATGGCGCACCAATGCCATACCCCAGGATATCTTGAAACGGGATATTCGAAAGATGGAATGACCTCATAGCCTCTGAACAGAGATTGTGAACAAGCTCCACATGAAGCATATTAACGGGAGCATCTTCGGGATTATTGCTAGGTTCTTGCGCGGACGAAGAAGTCACGGCGGGTGATACAACAGCGGGTGATGCAGTAGCAGTTTCACTTCTAACACTGCGAGACTTCTCAGTAGGCACAGGCTCCAAAAACTCGCAGTGTCGCTGTGAACTAATACAGTTGGAACATATTGGTCTTTTCTCATCACACTGAGCGGGGTCAGCAGCTGCATGTAGGTGTTGTGGGATGACAAACCTTCATGTGGCGGCGCTTGCATTCAATGCAGCCATTTCGAGATTTTTTATGTGTTCTTCGGACCATTTTTGCCACGTTGTGATATAGAAAAGATACGGCTAGGGCCGGGAGTCTTGGTTCCGATACGAGAGTAGTATATTTCAGACCCTTGGGCCCATAGCGGAGGTAAATGGTGCAGCCTAGATAGCCTCAGACAGTTTGCAGCAAGGCTAATCTCTGGGCCCACATAAACTATATCCCAAATCCCCTTGAAATGTCTTGAATGATTTTCAAAGTCGAGGTGAGGTTGAAAAATTGTGAGAATACGCGTATGCACAGACCATGTATCCACTTTCATTAAGGTTAAAAGTCTTGGCGCTCAGCAGCTCCGCCGTTTTTGGTATGGACCATATAAAATGCATTGAACGTGACTACATATTCAAACATCTAATTATATAATATTAGACTCCTTCGCGTAAAAATGTATACCCTTGGGTCCAGATAATGAACCCACCTTTCTAAAATCTGCTATATTTAACTCTCATCCAGGCACCCATCACTTTCATTTTACTACTTTCAACCTTGTGAATCACAACCAATAAAAATCCAAACTTCAATCATTTCCCCTTTTTGTGAGAAACGGACTTCTTACCATACACAACATGGGCGAGCTCAAGCCTTACAGAGGGGGTTACTATCTTTGGAAATACGTTCCCTCGCTCCCAGCAGCAATCATCTTTTTGGTACTGTTTGTTGCTGCCACAACATTCCACTTTTGGAAGCTCCACCGGACAAAGGCTTGGTTTTGCCTTGCATTCTCTATTGGAGGACTATGTATGTATACTGGGAATCTCGACTTGTTGAACATTGCTAACTGGCTTCCTCTTAAAGTTGAAGTTATCGGTTATGTCGGTCGAGCCGCTGCGAACAACAGCACAGATTCTGTGATCGTTTTCGCGATTCAAAATGTCTTCCTCCTTCTCGGACCTACCCTTTTTGCAGCCTCTGTATACATGACTCTCGGGCGAATCATCCGCAGCGTCCACGCCGAGAAACACTCTCTTGTTCGGATCAACTGGTTGACCAAGATATTCGTGATGGGCGATGTCGTATCATTCCTTGTGCAAGGCGGTGCATCTGGCCTGATGGCTACGGGGAATAACGTCAAAATGGCTTCAAACATTGTGGTCGCTGGTCTCGTTATCCAGGTCGTTATGTTCGGTCTGTTCATCGTCACATCGGTTGTCTTCGAGGTTCGCATGCGTCGATCACCCACGACTGAAGCTTTTGATGAGCGGATTAACTGGATGACTCAGGTGCGCACACTCTATGCTGTTAGTGCGCTCATCCTGATTCGGAGCATTTTCCGGGTTGTGGAGTACGCAGCTGGGGATGATGGATATCCACTTACTCATGAGTGGATGCTCTATGTGTTCGACTCTGTTTTGATGATAATCTCTATGCTCATCTGGGCTATTTGGTATCCCGGAAATATGCCCAAACTTACAGTGGCAGACCTGGAGACAGTCACAGAAGTAGTGGCCGATCTAGAATTAAAGGAGGACCGAGGTGCATAGGCATCTGTCTACTTCAGTCGATCTTATCTTTATCTTGCTTGCTTCCAATTCTCTTCTAAATAGTGAATCTATAAGTTCCAAGTTACATCATGTGAACAATAGACTAAATCCTCAAATTACATGCTGATTTTCTTTGAACTAGACTTAGCCAATCGAAGGTTTGAAGCTACGTACGTGTAAACTTGTCCTATTCATTTGAACTTGCACAGAATTATGTGTGTGCACCAACAAACCAACTTTGGGAAATATCAGAGATAAGAAAGACCAACCTGATACCAGTGCCATTAACAGCAGGTGGCCTAATGGTAACAGGTTGCATCTGTATACTATGAGGGAAGTGCCGAAGATCTTCCACTACTTGGACTGTTCAGATTCGTATCCCCTCTTTTTTCACTTCCCATGTATCTTGTTTACTTTGATAACCAGAAGATATATCTTGAGATTAATGCTTAAAGCATTTGTAGGTGACACCTGAGGATTTGGAGGATAAATAACTTCCTCTCCCTTTCCCTCTAATTCGCTGTACTCTCCTTGCATATACACGGGTAAGAATGAGGAGCCAACACAGAAGCACCACCATCGATAAGGCTGTCGTGAATGTGGCCATACCTCACATTGTTGACAACATTGGGTTTGGGGATGATCTTTTGCAGATCAACGGTCTTAAGATTGACCAATTATACTCTCCGTTGCGCATCCACCACGGCTCGGGTTGTATGCATACGGTGAATCTCCAGACCTTTAACAGATGCTAAAAGCATATGTAGGAAAAGAAGGGGGAATAAAATATTGCTTGCGAAGAATACATCCAGTCTGATGTCCTTTATTGTCGAAAAGAGAATGCCAAGATAACCCTGAATACTTGGATATTCTTCCTCGTGGGAACGGTTTGGTGCAAGGCCTCTGCATAACGTTATTACAACGTATGTTGACTAGCAGTCATATATGGCAGGTATGCCTCTGCGGTCGTTTCTGGGTGGCTAGAAACAAGGGAAAAGCCACCTCTTCGCCCATATTAACACTGACTACTCGGGTATGCTTGAAATTATCACAGTGCCTACTCTATAATATCAAGGATTACGAAGGTGCACGCAGCGACGACCCTGTGTCTTGAGTTTCGATATGGCAGCAACACCACATTACACATACCCAAAGCGCAGTGGTTCTTCTAGGGACGACGTCCTAAATGAGCCGGATTGGGCTATAACTCACAGCCACCGGATCGGGTTTCGCGATCGCGATGATCGCCATCTAGCTCACACACATACTGGGGATGACTGGGATCCGGAGCAGGAGCGGGAATTTCTAGCTCAGGCAAAGCAAGAAGCCGAGGAGCTTAGCAAGAAGCTGAGAGAACACGGTTTGATCAATGTCCGCGATTACAGGAACAAACAAGAGGTACGCACTAGCGTCTCTCAAACATCGCTATTGTCCCTTATCTCTGGCTGTTCCTTTTCTAGGACTACCATTTGAGGTTACCTCAAAAATACCCGCAGGGCTGGCGTTACGTGCTTCACACTACGGAAGACTTTATAAAGTACCAGCAGAACTGGCCTGTCAACGTGAAGAGATAACAGCAGTCGGAAGAATACGAAAAAGATCAGAAGGAGAATGAAAGAGTCAAACAGACACCACAACAGGAATACGAGTGGAGACGGAGTCGCGGCGAAAATGACACGCACAACGAATCACATGCTAGATACCAACAATACCACGATGACCGAAGCGAGCGCAGGGGGAAATATCAGGAAAGCGGTCTTCAGGACAAGTATTCACCACAAGAGCTATCTTTGCTGCACCTATTACAGTCGGAGAGCGTTTACATGGAGACGCTGAAAGAGAATGATGGCAACGTCAAGCCACCCGGTAATTTACCGAATTAGCAGGAGATCTCTATTAACGAGGATGACCAATTCACTCCCACAACTGGATCCCCCGATCTCCCAATCTGATTCGCCTAACTGGTAAGCATCCGCTTAATGGCGAGCCACAACTTCAAGTCCTCTACGGAGCAGGTCTCATCACCCCAAATTCAGTACATTATGTTCGCAACCATGGTCCTGTGTCTCATCTTCTGTGGGAAACCCACCAACTTGACGTAGAGGGCAGAAATCTGGTCTTATCGATGGACGATCTCGCAAGCAACTATGAAACTATCAACATTGCGGTGGCAATGGCATGCGACGGCAACTGGAGGAAGGAGCTAGATATGATAAGACGCTCCAAAGGTTTTGATTGGGGTGCTGGAGCCATTAGCTGTGCGTTCTGGAAAGGCCCTCTGCTGCGCGATGTGCTTCTAGCCGCTGGTATCCAGTGCCCTAATCCTCTCCATGAAAAGCGTCTACGTTGGGTCCATTTTGAAGGCGCTGACAACCTCAGAGAAGCCAAGTATGCAACATCCATTCCATTGGCATATGTCATGGACTCCGCAAACGACGTGATTATGGCATACGAAATGAATAATGTGCGACTACCACCAGACCACGGTTATCCAGTGCGCCTGGCAGTCCCCGGCTACATCGGTGGTCGTTGGGTCAAATGGCTCCAGAGGATCTGGGTCTCTGACAAGGAGAACAATAGCCATTTTCATATTTGGGACAACAGGGTTCTGCCTAGTTTCATTCGGGATAAAGACTCGGAGTTCTCACACATCATGTTCCATCATCCAAGTACGGCTTGCAACAAACAGAATCTCAACTCAATTATCGTAAGACCTGGACATGGTGAGGTCATTCCTTTGTCTGATATGAATAGTAATCGGACATATCGTATAGCAGGAATTGCATATGATGTTGGCGGCCACGAAGTTCAGAGGATGGAAGTCAGTCTCGACGGTGGGAAAACCTGGTTATACTGTGTTTGCAAGGTGAGCCTGTTCATTGGCCGTTGCCAGGAACGCACCAGTTGTTAAACTGCACGTTCAGTTCCCCGAGTACCCCGTCCGCCATGGACACAAATTTTGGACATGGCTCCATTGGTACGTGGATGTCGCAATGCCGCACCTTGTTCGAGCCGAGAGTATCATCGTCCGGTGCTTCAATTTTTTTCAAGAATACGCACCCGGAGGCGCCCACATGGAATATTATGGGGCAAGTCTACGCGACTACTCTTTGTGTGGCTATTAGCTGATTCTGCATAGAATGATGAACAATTGTTGGTACATCGTTCTCCCGGAGATTTTAGACAGTGAAGGAAACTACTCTATGCTATTCTTCAGGCATCCCTGTCAGCCTGGTACAGGTGCGGGAGGTTGGATGCAACCCTCGACGGAGAATCGCATCGAGAGTATCAAGCACGAGGCATCATCACCGCAAAAGCAATTCACACGTGAGGAGATTGAAAAGCACAACAAGGAGAACGACTGCTGGATTTTCATTAATGGCAAAGTCTACGATGCGACAAGTGTGCTAGATTGGCATCCTGGTGGCAAGGCGCCTATCATGACACACGCAGGTAGGGCACATCCCGATACCACAAATGACTTCGAGAGCATTCATGACGACTATGCGGAGCAAAGGCTGAGCGGTACTGTATAACCATTCCTCCATTTGTTGAAAAGTGTTGACTGACTGGATACATAATGCGTCCTCGGTGTTGTGACCGAGAAAACAATTGAGTTCATCAAGAAGCAGGCCCAAGACGCGGCCAACGAGAAAGCCAACCATTCTAATAGGAACCTACAGACTGCATTTGACTGTCATCGGTGGAATGTCGTTCGTTTTGGGGAAAAGGAGCAGCTTTCTGAGGACACTCGTCGATCTACTTTCGTGCTACCAGCGTCTACGAAGAAACTCGGTCTTGGCACCAGCCAGCATCTTCAGCTGGGCTTCCATTTCAGTGATCGGCTTGTCGTCAGGCCATACACGCCCACGATGCCAGTTTTTGAGACGGAGGAAGATGGCACATTTGACCTTGTCGTCAAGACATACGTCCCGGATCAATCCCAGCCAGGTTGAACGATGAGCAATATCCTAGACTGTCTGCGCCCTGGTGAGGAGGTTTAAGTTAAGGGGCCTTCAGGCGAAATCAGGTACATCGGCCAAGGCAAACTCATAATCGACGACAAAGCATATCAATTCCACAACGTCAGTCTTGTTTTGGGAGGATCCGGTATCCCCCCCAAGTACCAGCTTATCTCACGTATCCTACGTGCCAAGAATCAAGGCTGAGAAGAGGACAAGACCAATCTCAAGGTCATCAATGCGAATAAGTCTGAAGACGATATACTATTGAGGGATGAATTGGATAGATTTGCTGAGGAGGATCCGGATCAATTCAAGATCACCCATATTCTTTCGAACCCAAATAATAATTGGAGAGTAGAGAATGGTCATGTGTCCAAGGAAATTCTACAGAAGTATCAATCAATCGATCAATCAATCAATCAATCAATCAAAGTTCAATTAACCTGTTGCAGTCTAACTAGTTGCGTATGACTATGCAGGCACTTCATCCAGCTGAAGCAAGAACTCGAAGCCAAACGCCGAGTGGGATCCTCCCAGAGTATACAGATGCTAATTGTAGAGAGTGGAATCAGCCCATTCCTATACCCCGTAGTCCCGTAAATCCAAAACCATCCGAACCCATACATAAGAAATCAACCCATAATGATTGTCATGGGGTTCAGCCCCCCCTTCCATCTTCCACTTCCTTCCTTCTCTCTCTCTCTCTCTCTCTCTCTCTCTCTCTCTCTCTCTCTCTCTCTGTCTCTCTCCCCTGCCTCGGTTGCAATTGATACTGACGTTGTCGTGGCCAGTTGACTGGCATGTTTGTCGACTTTGGCTGAGTTCTCGTGTCACAGCATCATCTGTCGTCATTGGCTAATACCCATCGTCTTCCACACCTAGATCCATTACCGCGAGGCCTGTCGGTTCGTCGTCGTCCTCCACCGTCACATGTTGAAACTGCTGAAGGAGACCTGTTCGGTGCATAAAGTTGACCATGTAGCGGATGGCACTCTACAGAAGTACGCATTTGGACATGAGAAAGGAAATCTGGCGCTGCTTTGTGGTCCTCCAGCTATGATTCAGAAGGCTGTGCTTCCAGCGCTTCGGGAGATTGGATACAAGGAGGACGAAAATTTGTTTGGATTTTAGCTCTGTTGCCCTCAATTTCCGATACTCTGGCATACCAATTGTATATAATGCGCTTAGGCTGTACTTAATCTCCGGTAATCGCTATCCCGGCGAAGTAAGGCCCTGCCTCAACAGCTAAAGGTTGATGTTGACAAAACATCCCATTTATACATCCTAGAGTCAGGATCGCTTAAAATACTGAGGTATCAGTTCCAAACTTGGTAAGTAGCTCCGAAGGGCCTTCACAAGTATGACTCCTTTCTCAGTTTCCCTGGTTTCTACTATCTCATGAAATACCGCACGAGTATTTAAATGACCACTTGGAAGATCATATCCTAAGGAACACAAACTTCGATGAGACATATGATGTTGTACACTTCCTTGGTGGTCTCTTGACGCATCCCAGTAATGCTGAAATAAATTAATTATCGCAATAATAGAACGATTGCTATTCAACTTCGTCCAGTCTAATTATATTGCTATAAACAACACATGACTGTCCCTCCCAACTTCCATACACATCGTCACGTAGGCACTCAAGCCTTGGCAGACTCGACCTCAACGTGATCAGTGTCAATTTGCTTCTCACCCTTGAGATCCTCCAATATCTCAACGCCAGCAAGACCAAGACTCTCATTGATCCGCATCATGCGCAAACGATCAGCCTCGGCAATACTATTATTATCGCCACCAAAGAAGACATCCAACTCCTCAAGCGTCTTGTCCTTGGTCTCAGGGGCGAACTTCCAAATGAACAGACCACCTAAAGCACTAAAGACGGCGAAGAAGATATAGGTACCATACTTCATCGAGCCCAGCATATCCTTGGTGGTAAGACCGATAATGAAGTTGAACATCCAGTTGGTAGACGCGACGATTGAGACACCGCGCGAGCGCTGACTGTTGGGGAAGATTTCCTGGGCCAATACCCATGCTACCGGTCCTGTTCAATAAGGTGTTAATAGGATGAGGCAGATGAGCTGGTATCATTGTAACGTACCCCAAGAGTAAGCAAAGTTAACAGCGAAGAGCCAGATGAAAGCAATGGCAACCCAGCCTTGTGGTCTGGCAAGTCCCTCGTTCAGATTCCACTGAGGCTCGTATATTCCCTCCACGATGGCGACAACAATGTGACAAAGGAACATGCCGATAGCACCGACAATTAAGAAGGTCTTGCGGCCGAACTTGTCGAGGTAAAGGACGGTAGGTAAAGTGAAGATAATCTGCAGGATACCAGTCACACCAGTGGCGAGAAGGGTTGTCTTCGTGGAGGAGAAACCGAACTAAGAAAAAGGAAGAAAGTCAGAACCTGATTTGCCAAGAAAAATCAAATGGGCATTTGAACAAGCTGGAATACTTACCGAAGAGAAAATCTGGGGCGCATAGTAGAGCACAGCGTTGATACCAGTGAACTGCTGGAAAACCATCATACCGCAACCGAGAATCAGACGCTTGAACATGTTGGGGGCAAACAGAGCTTTCCAAGGAGCTAGTATACCCCCAGCTCCAACAACTTCACTCTCCGTCTCTTCATCGAACATGACAGCAGCCTTGATCTCAAGGTACTCCGCACGAACAAGTGGATCAGTCACAGGCAGGCGACGCAGCTTAGAGATGGACTCCTTAGCCTCCTCATCGCGGTGCTTCATCATCAACCAACGTGGCGAGAAGGGGAAGAAGAAGAGACCGAAGAACAGAATCCAAGCCGGGATAATCTGCAAAGCCAAAGGAAGTCTCCACGCGATGGTCTTCTGGCCTAAGCAGGTGTGGCCGTGGTTCTGCGCGGCATTGTATGTGCCACTACTCAGATAGGGATTCGAGATACCCTCCGGGTTACAGGTGTTGCCTCCGACAAACTGCATACCATAGTCGAGCCAGAAGGAAATGGCCGTACCGATAGTGATGGACAGCTGTTGCAGGGAAACAAGCGATCCACGCAGCTCAGGGGGAGCGATCTCGGCTTGGTACAGTGGAATAACCATACTGAACATACCGATGCCAACACCGCCGATGATTCTACCAGCGAAGAAGTATGCAGGGTTCTGTGCACCAGCCTGAAGACCAGTACCCAAGGTGAAGATGACGACCGCAACCATCATGGCATACTTACGCGAAATACGGTCTGCGAGAACACCGTTGATCAAAGCACCAGCCCAGGCACCAAGCTCGAGGGCCGACACCAACCAACCCTGGATCGTGGATCCCATGAACGTGGGGAAGTGGTTTTCGAAGTTCTCCATGACCAGAACAGGACCCATCACACCCTGATCGTATCCATACATGATACAACCCAGTGATGCAAACAGACAAGTGAAGAAGACATATGGATTGGAAATAAAACCTTTCAGACCATGAGGTTTCTCTGCGTTGGCACGGCCAACCACAGACTGACTGACTGCCATCTTGAAGACGTAGCTAGGGCACGAGATAGACAAGAAAATGGAATCTAACCAAAGGAGAAAAGCGGGCTAACCAGGGGGATTATATAGTACAGGCCGCGTTTTTAGCCTCTAATTTCTTTTTCCTTCGTCTCCTCATTCTGGGGTTAGACCCCACGAGTGAAGGACATTTCCCCGGAAATAAAGACAAAACGCACAGCGAGAACCGAGCATCCCACATTCGGGACCCTCGATCATTCGATGACATGCACCGGTTTAAGGGGCCAATAGCACGCTAGGCTCGAATTTGAATACTAGACCGACAATCGGAGATGCCATTATCCGGGCATACGAGAACTCATATGAAATTGTTGGATGCCAAGGTACGCCACAAACCAAAAGAAGCATCACGCCAGCAGGCTCGGCATTGACTGGGCACCTTGGACCCGAAGTTCTCAGAAAACAAGCCTCCAGGTCTGAGAGCGTTGTGGCTTGGCAGAATTTGGTTTTGATTCGTTAACCAAGTGTCAGCTTGAATCCTTTCCGTATATCCATGTCATCCAACCGCATGAGGAGATATTTAGTGCTTACCGCACTGACACTTTGGGTGCAGTTAGATACTACATAACCCCCTAAAATCCGACAATTGACCGATGCCAGTTATTAAGATGAATGGGGGTATACAAGTCACATTGTGGGGTCTGTTCATGTCCTATATCTACTAGCAGTAGAATATTTTCTGATTACCAAGCATCAACCATTTGGCTACATTCTACGAATGTCAAAGAAAATCATCACATCCTACTTTAGAAATAGAAATCATTTCCTCGATTTAATCCGTTTCGAGCGCCCGGTTGAACAAATGAGATGCAAATGGAGAAAAGCAGGGAGAAAGGGGGAGTACAGGGGCCGGTAAATCTTCGGGTTTGCTATAAGCCCTAGTCGATTGATGAGTTCTGATGTTACAATGCCACAGCTATAATTCCAAAAATTGGCTGACTTCCAACTTTTAGCCTCGGATTATAAATAACAATAAAATACTAATAAATTAACAGCCCAATTTCGGGCTAGTGGACTCTGTTTCGGCATTGTCTTGGCTCGGGATTGGCCAAAAATTTCGGGGAACCGAGCGGACGCGTGGACTTCCGGGGCTTTCCCATGGGGTTTTCTAACTTTGCCAGTTCCAGTTGCTCGGTGAGTTGAGTCCGGGGTTGAAATCTGGGGATTGTATGGATTTAGACACTTACATTTTTCTTCCATTTGTGACTCATAACCTGGTGGCTGTTCTATTTGAACTGGCTTTTCTCAGAGTCCCGAGCCCAGCTTCCGGTTCTTCCGGTATGGTATACAACGTCGGGCCATAACTCACCTCCCGTGATGCCCCATGGGATCTCGCCTATCTCAGGGACCAATGGGTATCGCCGGTTTCGAATTGTCGCCAAGTCGGGTCTAGCCGAAATGCAATGCTCTTTTCGTTTTGTTTATGAGAAAAGAAAAGAAAAAAAGAAAATTTAGGACATACTAAACTAGTCATATCTCTTGCTGGTGGCGATTTTTCCAAGGATTCGTCTGAACTTGATTTAGCCCTTTCAATTTGACTAAGAACTTGCGTCCATATTGCTCTCAGGTGTGTCACACAATTTCATCTAACATATAGTAGTCATACATCAACTCTCTATTAGCTACCGTGGTAAGGACCACATCTAATGACAGAAATATTCTCACAGTTCAATTTTCACTGCACCTTGAAGTGCCTTCATCGATCGTTGTCGGGGAGCATGGACATTTCTTTCTTCATCCTGAGCCACAAGCACACCGCGATAACTCTGAAAAATAATACCACTCCGCGCCCGAAAAAGCACAAACAAGATATACAATCCTCAAATCCAAGTTAATAATGAATTATACAAAAGACCCTTGTTATTTTGACCGATTTACAAATTTTATAATCTGAGACACACCTACTAACAAGGGCTGCTAACGAAGGGACAAAGATTCACCAACAATGTACACTATGCCTAGATGTTTCAATTCCACTCTTAAATGAAGACAAAGGCACCTTCCAACAAGTTCTTTGATGCTGAATACAATCTCAAACATCCAGTATTGATGCCTGAATCTCCAAAAACCATATAAAACCCCCGTTCCTCCGAGGAGGGGATATGCAACAGGTTCTCCACCACCCCTCCACTATCCCAGTCTTCTGGCTCGAGGTTTCCCGATCCCCTTAACATAGTGGTCAAGTATAACTCACACGTCTACCTTTCCCCCTTGGTACTAAGAGTCCTTTCAAGCGCCATGTCAGCTAACTACAACTGGCAGGCAGTCCACCCGGTCTACGGAGTCCCCATTTTCGTCGTGCAAGCCACCGAGCATCCCCCAATCCGCTGCGACGTTCGTCAGAGACACAATCTCCCATCTAGATCATGGGCAGTACGTATTTCTACATGGGTCAATACTAACTATTTCCTATGGTCTTTGTGCGCTGGTCTCGCCGGCTATCGTTCGGACGAGGAGTGGACGAATACCTTCGAGATACACTATCGGAAGACCTGGGATGAGATCCAAGCTAGAGTCCAGGAGATCGATGGGCCTTATAGGTTTGGTATACCTATTCCGATCCCCCCGGTCATGAAGGCCGTA